GAGAGAGAAAAAAAAGACAAACATCAACTTGTTGTTACACTCATTAATGCATTCATTGTTTGATTTGTGTATGTGCTCTCACCAGGGATTGAACCCAAAACTTTGGTGTATGGGATAATGCTCTAACCAACTGACCTACCCAGCCAACTGACCTACCCAAGTTCTTTAGTAAAAGGTTTCTAAGCAAGCCCTGTCTATTCTGCATCTAGTTCAACACACCTTTGAAATGCCAGAAGTAATCCTCTTTTCCAGACCCATCAGAGGGAGCATATAACCATTTTCAAGGGAACACATAATCTCATAAACTATCCTGTACCTTGATTTCTCCCACATTCATGTAATCTTATGTTCCTTCCATAGTTCCAAATGTATAAAAGACTGCAAAACTGACATTCTCTGAAGCATTTAAAATCTTGCTTCCTGGCAATATCATTGGTTTGCTTCAAATAAACTCTTATAAAAATTCTCCGTAGGTTTGGGCGCTTCTTACATAGACATATGGAGTCAGAATCATCAGAACTTGCTCTATGAATATGGAAGAAGTAAAGGGAGTACGTCCGCCAGATCTCAAGTTTGGGCAATTATTGATGCATGAATGTAGGGGTTGCCAACTAGTGAAAGAGAAAGATAGGAGGAGAAACACGTTTAAGGAGAATTTAGGTTTGAAATAGAAAGTTTGAGGGAAACATCCAGGAACTATTTGGGTAAATGAATGTGGAAATTGGCAGAGTTTGGCTTAGAGATTCTTCATGTGTCCAAGTCTATGTTACTATTTGCAGACCATTCTCAGCGTCTGTTTAAGCAACTGCTCAGTTGATATTAAGTATGGTCTTTTGCAACGGAATTGTCTAAAGTCTTACTTTCTTCTAATACTTTCTGCAAAATGAAGATTGCCTACTACATTTGTTACTTTAATAATTACTTCTCTCCTCTTTCCAAAGTTCTTTTTAGGTCTTTTTTAGGGTTCTCTGTATTGGCCATATGCTTAAGCACTCAGAGAGACAGGGAGGGGTTTTGTTCAGTTCCCTTTGGCAGAGTCATTTCTGTTTAGAATCTGATCTCAAAAGACTTAAAGCTCTAGCTAAAGTAAACAGGAATTAGTAGAAAATAATGGATGTAATCTACAGAAGGAAAGATAGACTTGGTTGATTTTGTTAAAAAACAAACAAATAACAGGCCCAAAATGATGTCACTTTTGCTAAACCATGTCACCAAACCAAACCTAATTGTAGTTTAAACCTCTTCCACAAGTGGAATTTTAAATCAGTCAGTCTGGAATTTCCTGATCAACACTAGTGAGGAAACCTGCCTAAGACCCTCATGTCTTCTGCTAAAGGAAGGTGTCCCTGCCGGAAATAATCTACTCTTTTAACTTCTTAGTCTCACTCTCTTTCTGCCTATGAAAACTTTCCATTTGTACTCCTTGGAGCACCCTTCTAATTGTCAGATGGAATGGTACTCAATTAAGGTATCACTTAATAAAGCCAATTACATCTTCAAATTTACTTGGTTGAATTTTGTTCTTTAACAATATGATATGTGGTAAGGAAAAAAGTGATATGTGTAATAAACTGGATATATTGTGCTTTGTTTAAAAGGTTAGTTTTTCTGTGCATTGTTTTGTTACATTTTAACGTGGCAGTTTTCAAATTTGGGTTTAAACTCTTTGAGAGGCCACTGGGAGGGAAGGTTGCTTGCTGACTAGTTGGGACTTTGGGCACATCACCATTATTTCAACCAGAACAACCGAATCTGTTTTACATTAGCTTTCATTGAAGAAGGGTTCTATGACTTTTTTTTTTTTTTAAGGTGTGAAAACCACTATTTTATGCAATAGAAGCTGTTAGACGTATAGTGAAATCAGTGACAGATGAGGTCAGAGTGAAGGAAGGAAAGAAAGCTGTTTAACAATTGATGGACATCTAACTAGTATTAGGATAACTGAGGAAGGTTTCAGGCAACCTGGAAATGCACAGTGGCCAAACCCCTCAGCACTTCCAGGCAAATTCCTTATCTAGAAGGGAAATACCATGATGGAATGGCTGCACCATGGACCCTGGTTGGAAGCTTGGTTGGGGCTTGAAACTGTTTTGCTCAAGATGAAGAAAACATACACTGTCCAAATCACATAACTGGACGGAACGTATGTGATTGACATCACAGAGAACTGAAGCCTTCCAAGCCCTCTCTTTGAACCAAAATGAGTGTACATGTGCAGATTTATGGAGACAATTATAAAGGGGTTATGCCATGTATCAAAAGGAAGTTGACAGCTGTGATGTCAAAGGAAATTAATTGCATAAAGTTCCTTAAATGGGCCACAATTTTTCTGCCAACATTTTTCTCTCTATCTGGAACTACTTGCCTTCCCTTCTTCAATCAGCTAACCTGTTCTACCTGTTCTTCTATAACTGAACTCAAGAATTTTCCAGTACAAGTAGCTCTATAAAATTTGGAAGGATTACCCTTCTTTGTGCTAATAACCCAATACTAGGGCATAATTGCATTCCTTTGAATGTTGATTTACTTTTGTTCCCCCAAACCTTAGCTCCTTAAAGGCAATACATGACACCTGATCCTCACCTCCAAAGCTTAGCGCAGTAAGAGCCTAATAAATGTCTGTTGAATGAATGAATGAACACACAAGGCTTTATACTGGGCAGAATTCTTTCCAGGTACTTATGCAGTGCACCCTTGACTCAGAAAATAGTTTTTAAAAGAAATTTAAACTTGCCTATGATTAAGGAAGAAGAAAGAGAGGAGACATGTAATATTTTGAGATTTGTTTGTGTGCGTAAAGAAAGTGAGACAAGAGGGGATAGAGTGCCTTTCAAGTAAGAGATTAATTGGCTTGATTCGAGTGTCTCCAATAAAATAACTGATATAATTCACAACTAATGTATTGCAGGTAGGGGAGAAATGACACAAAATGATTCAATTTTTTTGGATAATGAAACAACAATCCCTATGTTGACTGGCATAACTAGTGTCTTGTACCCAAGTGGCTCCTGAGCAAAATGTCCAAGAACACTCACAACAGGACAGCGAGTAGGGCGGTGTTTCTGCAGGCTTCAAAATCGCCCCCTGCCTTCTCCTGCGGGGCAGTTTTTGGTAAATCAAACCCACCCTCGCTCAAATCAGACAAGATATCTTAAAATCCCTGCCTTGGAGCGCAAAGACAAGTCTGGGGCTGTGGACTGCGGTCGAGTCCCTTCCCGGTGAGGGCGGTGGACTCCCGGCTCCCGGGGGTTCCGACGGTGCCGCAGTGGGCGAACAGGAGCCCCCAGACCCCGCGGGTTCCCAGGAAAGGAGCCGAGGACTCCAGCCGCCTCTCAGGAAAGAGGGCTTTCAGGGGCCCGCCAAGGGCGAGGAGTGGGGCAGCAGACGGGCCAGGGTTGGGGGCCCCCCCGACTTCCCCAACCCCCTTCACCACCTGCCTGCAACCCGGAAGCAGATGTGGGCTGCGCAGCGCGGCGGGTTGCGGTTCCGGGTCGGGCGGCGCCGCAGCTGCTCTCGGCTCTGCCGCAGCGCCCCGCCCCCGCGCTCCGGACCTGGGCTGGTGGCGGCCACCTGGCCGCTCTGGGGCCACATGGCTGAGGGGGACACAGGGAGCGACCAGAGGCAGGTGAGGCCCCGGCTGGGCGCCGACCTCCGGGCTGGGCTTGGTCTCGCCTCGCCGCCCCGGCCTCCTCCGCCGAGGGGCCCTGCGCCCGGGGCCGCTCCGGTCCCACCCACACCGCCCGGCCGCTGGCCGTGCCATTTGCTCCACCGCATCCCGTTTTCCCGGCGCGTGGCCTTGGCCCAGGGCTCTCTTGTCATCTGCTGCCAGCCACTCCCGTTTGTCCCGGGCTGGGCCTGCCGGGACGATGTCTTCGTCAACCATCAGCACGCGACTGAGCAGCTCAGGGCCGAGGCAGAAACACGGGTTCCGCTCCCCGCCCTGTCTCCGCTGGGTCACCTCGGACACACCACTTGCGAAGCCCGATTTCTGCATTTGCAAAATGGTCAATAATGACACAATTCTTGGAGTTCCTGGAGGGCCTCGTGATTCTTATGTTCTCTTGGTATTGAGCTTTCCCCTGTGCGTGGCTCACGTGGGCGCTCTTAAAGCTTTTCCTATGAGGACAAAATGAGATGAGACAGAGTTGAATGCATGCTTTTCTTCCCCTTTCACCTTTAGGCCCGGTTATTTTCTTTTTTTTCTCTTTTTTTTTTTTTTTATCCTCACCGAGGACAATTTTCCATTTTTTGTTCAGGTAGAGTGGGAGGGAGAGAGAGGAACAGAGAGAGAGAGAGAAACATTGATGTGAAAGGAACACATCGAGTGGCTGCCACCCGCACAACCGACCAGGGCCGGGGACAAACTGCAACCGAGGTACATGCCCTTAGCGGGAACCGAACCCTGGTCTCTCAGGACCGCAGGCCCACGCTCTAACCGCTGAACCAAACCGGCCAGGGCGATATTTTCTTTTTTTAACTTCAAACCAGAAGAATAATTTCTGAAGTCTTTTGATTACCAAAAAACTAAACCAACTACCCACTCTCGTTCCCAAATCCAAAACAAAAACAACGATGGAGATGCCCAGTAAGAATATGGGGCTAGAGTGGGGGTGGGGATTACCTGTTTAAAATGAAAAGGTGGAGCAGAGAAGATAGGGTTATTCTTTCACATGTGACTCTTGCTACAGGGTATTGGAACGCACACATATTTTGGCTCAGGAGTGGCCAAACACACTGTGTAGTAGCAAGGCTGGTTCCAGTCATTGCAATAGCATCTGGCAACCACCCAGAGGAGAACATGGTGACCTGCAGCTAAGAACCTTTGGCAGAGTTCATTTAGGGAACCTGCATCCAGACTGGTAATGTTAAAGGCAAATGCCTTATAAAGGAATAAGGAAAACTCAGGTTTTTAGCATATGCATATTTATTGACTTTTTCTCCCTTCCTTATCAACTTCTTTCAGAATGAGGAAATTGAAGCAATGGCAGCTATATATGGCGAGGAATGGTGTGTCATTGATGACTGCGCTAAAATATTTTGTATTAGAATTAGTGATGATATTGATGACCCTAAGTGGACACTTTGCTTGCAGGTATTTCCCCCCGCCCCCTTTCTTTACAGTCATTTATTAGTTACATCATTGACTCTATATGATTGACTGCTATTGTATTTTCCTAATGTGTGACATTTTCTAAATTGTCTTTTTGTTGTTATTGGCTTTTGTTAACTATTGGTTATCTAAACATATGGGTAATTAAATTTCAGATCACTCTAAAGTCACACTTTAATTGATTTTTCCTCTCAATTATTTTAATTATGTAAGTGTTCTTAATGTACCATTGACAGACTTGAGTTTCACTTCCTCTCATTATCCTGTCCAGAGGATCTAAACCTAGAAGACAGCAGACATTTAAGAGGAAGAATAGGTTAGTAATTTAGATGGTTCATAGAGTAGATACTTATTTCTTTATTAATTGGGAATCAGTTGTGGTTAGGATAAATAAATGGAAAGACAACGTGGCTTTCTGTTTTAATGCTTATTCTTTGCTGCCTACACTTTGAACATAAAAGATGCCAAATTGAGTTTTTGTCAGTATTTGTTATTATAATAATTCTGTTTTGAAAAAATATCTGTATGGGTCTCTATTTAAGTGTTAGTTGATAATGTATTTAATCATATTTAGTAGGATTTTTTATTTTTTTAGTATTTCCTCAGAAAAATCCCTGGAACATGTTATAATGCCACTCCATTCATTTAATGTTAGGGTATACTGACCCTATTTCAGTTTTTCTTTTCCTTTCAACTTTATCATCCCCACCCTTATTTTCTAACTTTTGTTGCTTTTATACTTTATTTGCAAATAATTAGCTCCTTCTTAAAAATGTGGTGTCAGTATTAGCAACATATTTAAAATAGAAGCATAAATATGAAGAGGGAATTGTCTCTTGAGATTTAACAAAACAATTGTTTTGGTTTTTAGTTTGACAAGTTAAAATTTGCCCAGTGACTAGCTTTATAAATAATACTATTTTTGAATCATGAAATATAAACATTTGTTTTTAACTGCTTTGTAGGTGATGCTACCGAATGAATATCCAGGTACTGCTCCACCTGTTTATCAACTGAAGTAAGCTCTATTTTCTTTTTCTTTTGTTTTTTCAAATTGTCGTACCTTTTTTTATTTTAACATCTCTGAAATCATCATGGTTTTATTTTATGTCTGTATGTATTTATTTTTGTTTGTTAGTTTGTCTTGTTCATTAGATTCCACTTATAAGTGAAATTATCTGGTACATGTCTTTCTCTGACTGGCTCATTTCACTTAGCATAATACTCTTCAGGTCCATCCAAGGTACTATTTCCTTCTTTTTTTATAGCCAAGTAGTATTCCATTGTGTAAATGTAGCTCTGTTTTATGTATTTATTATTTATTTTTGTTAATCCTCACCCAAGGATTTTTTTCCATTGATTTTTAGAGAGAGTGGAAGGGAGGAAAGGAGTGAGTGAGTGAGGGAGAGAGGGAAGGAGGAAGTGAGACAGAGAGAGAGAGAGAAATATCAATGTGAGAGAGACACATTGATTGATTGCCTCCTGTACAACCCTGACCAGGGCTGAGGATTGAACCTGCAACCCAAGTACATGCCCTGACCAGGAATCAAAGCTGAGACCCTTCAGTCTGTGGGTCCATGCTCTAACCACTGAGCAATACCAGACAGGGCTCTATATTTATATTTTTATTTATTTATTTATTTATTTTTTTATGAATTTTTATTTATTTTTTTGTTACAGATATTTTACCTTTTTACCCCATTGGCACCCCCCACCCCACCCCCCCTCCACCCTGTCCCCAGCTTAGTTGTCCATGTCCATTGGTCATGCATACATGCATATAAGTTCTGTGGTTTATCTCTTCCCATCCCCCCACTCCCCATCCCCTCTTCTGAGGGATGTCAGTCTGTGCCCTACTTCCATGTGTCTGGGTCTACTGTATTCCTCAGACTGTTATGTTCATTATATTCCATATATAAGTGAGATCATGTGGTATTTGTCTTTTTCTGCTTGGCTTCTTTCACTTAGGATAATACTTTCCAGGTCCCTCCATGTCGTCTCAAAGGATAAGAGATCTTTCTTTCTTACAGCTGCATAGTACTCCATGGTGTATATGTACCACAGCTTTTTTATCCATTCGTCTACTGGTGGACACTTGGGCTGTTTCCAGATCTTAGCTATTGTAAATAGTGCTGCTATGAACATGGGGGTACATATATTTTTCCTGTTTGGTGTTTCAGGCTTCTTAGGGTATATTCCTAGCAGTGGGATCACTGGGTCAAATGGAAGTTCAATTTTTAATTTTTTGAGGTAGCACCATATTGTTTTCCATAGCAGCTGCACCAGTCTGCATTCCCACCAGCAGTGTATTAGAGTCCCCTTTTCTCCACACCCTCGCCAACACTTGTTGTTTGATGATTTGTTGATGACGGCCATTCTGACAGGTGTGAGGTGATACCTCATTGTTGTTTTAATTTGCATCTCTCTGATGATTAGTGATGGTGAGCATTTCTTCATATGTTTCTTGGCCATTTGTATGTCCTGTTTGGAGAGGTGTCTATTCAGCTCCTCTGCCCATTTTTTAATTGGATTCTTTGTCTTCCTTTTGTGGAGTTGTATGAGCACTCTATATATATTGGAAATTAACCCCTTATCTGATACATCATTGGCAATGATGTTCTCCCATACAGTGGGTTGCCTTTCCATTTTGATGATTGTATCTTTTGCTGTGCAGAAGCTTTTTAGTTTGATGTAGTCCCATGTGTTCATTTTCTCCTTTATTTGTGTTGCCTTAGGTGATGTATCAGTGAAAATTCTGCTCCGTATGATGTCCGAAATTTTGTTGCCTACATTTTCTTCTAGAATTTTTATGGATTCACGGGTCACATTTAAGTCTTTTATCCATTTTGAGTTTATTTTTGTGTATGGTGTAAGTTGATGGTCTAGTTTTGTTTTTTTGCATGTAGCTGTCCAATTTTCCCAACGCCATTTATTAAAGAGGCTGTCTTTACTCCACTGTATGCTCGTGCCACCTTTGTCAAATATTAATTGAGCGTATTGCCTTGGGTCCATTTCTGGGTTTTCAGTTCTGTTCCACTGGTCTATATGCCTGTTCTTGTGCCAGTACCAGGCTGTTTTGGTTACAGTCGCTTTGTAGTATAACCTGATATCTGGTATTGTGATCCCACCTACTTTGTTCTTCTTTTTCAAGATTGCTGTGGCTATTCGGGGTCTTTTTTGGTTCCATATGAACTTTTGAAGTATTTGTTCTAGTTCTATGAAATATGTCGTTGGTATTTTGATGGGGATTGCATTAAATCTATAGATTGCTTTGGGTAGTATGGACATTTTAATTATGTTAATTCTTCCAATCCATGAACAGGGTATGTGCTTCCACTTTTTTATATCTTCCTGTATTTCTTTTTTCAATGACCTGTAGTTTTCTGCAAATAGGTCCTTTACTTCTTTGGTTAAGTTTATTCCTAGGTATCGTAATTTTTTTGGAGCGATGGTAAATGGGATTGTTTTTTCAGTTTCTCTTTCTGTGAGTTCATCATTGATGTAGAAGAATGCCGTCGATTTCTTGACGTTAATTTTGTATCCTGCTATTTTGCCAAATTCGTTTATTAAGTCTAATAGATTTTTGATGGAGTCTTTAGGGTTTTCTATGTACAATATCATGTCATCTGCAAATAATGACAGTTTCACTTCCTCCTTTCCAATTTGCATCCCTTTTATTTTTTCTTCATGTCTGATTGCTGTGGCTAATACTTCCAGTACAATGTTAAATAAGAGTGGCGAAAGTGGACATCCCTGTCTTGTTCCTGTTCTTAATGGAAATGTTTTTAGTTTCTGTCCATTGAGTATGATGTTGGCTGTAGGTCTTTCATATATGGCCTTTATTATGTCAAGATATGATCCCTCTATTCCTACATTGCTGAGCGTTTTTATCAGAAATGGATGCTGGATTTTGTCGAATGCTTTTTCAGCATCTATTGATATGATCATGTGGTTTTTATTCTTCATTTTGTTTATGTGGTGTATCACGTTTATTGATTTGCGAATATTGTACCAGCCTTGCATCCCTGGAATGAATCCCACTTGGTCATGGTGAATAATTTTTTTGATGTATTTCTGGATCCGATTTGCTAATATTTTGTTCAGGATTTTGGCGTCTATGTTCATCAGGGATATTGTAGTTTTCTTTCTTCGTAGTGTCTTTTTCTGGTTTTGGAATTAGAATTATGCTGGCCTCATAGAACGTGTTTGGAAGTCTTCCTTCTTCTTGAATTTTTTGAAATAGTTTGAGGAGAATGGGTGTTAGTTCTTTTTTGAATGTTCGGTAAAACTCCTCCGTGAAACCATCTGGGCCTGGGCTTTTGTTTGCTGGGAGAGTCTTGATTACCTCTTCAATTTCCTTAGTTGTTATTGGTCTGTTCAAGTTTTCTATCTCTTCCGGGAATAGTTTTGGGAGACTGTGTGTTTCTAGAAATTTGTCCATTTCGCTTAGATTGTCGAATTTGTTGCCATATAGTTGTTCATAGTAGTTGTTAACGATCTTTTGTATTTCCGTGGTATTGGCTGTTACTTCTCCTCTTTCATTTCTGATTTTGTGTATTTGGGTTCTCTCTCTTTGTTTCTTGGTGAGTCTAGCTAAGGGTCCATCAGTCTTGTTTATCTTTTCGAAAAACCAGCTCTTTGTTTCATTGATCCTTTGAATTGTTTTTTTGGTCTCTATGTCATTTATTTCTGCTCTGATCTTTACTATTTCCTTCCTTCTACTTGCTCTGGGGTTTTCTTTTTGTTTGCTTTCTAATTCTTTAAGTTGTGAGGTTAGACAGTCAATTAGAAATTTTTTCTTGTTTTTTGAGGTAGGCCTTGTAGTGCTATGAACTTCCCTCTCAGAACTGCTTTCGCTGCATCCCATAGATTTTGTGTTGTTGTGTGTTCAGTTTCATTGGTTTCCAGGAAGTTTTTAATTTCTTCCTTGATCTCCTCGGTGACCCATTCATTGTTTAATAACATGCTATTTAGCCTCCATGTGTTGAAATGTCTTTGCATGTTCTTGTTGCAGTTGATTTCTAGTTTCATGCCATTGTGATCTGAGAAGATGCTTGATATGATTTCAATCTTCTTGAACTTGTAGAGATTTAGTTTGTGTCCTATCATGTGGTCTATCTTTGAGAATGTCCCATGTGCACTTGAGAAGAATGTGTATTCTGTAGTTTTGGGGTGTAATTCTCTGTAGATATCTATTAAATCCATTTGGTCTAGTGCTTCATTTAGAGTCTCTGTTTCCTTGCTAATTTTTTGCCTAGAGGATCTATCCAGTGCTGTCAACGGGGTGTTGAAGTCCCCTGCTATGATTGTATTGTTGTCGATTTCTCCTTGGAAGTCCTCCAGAAGATTTTTAATATATTTTGGTGCTCCTATTTTGGGTGCATATATGTTTATCAAGGTTATATCTTCCTGTTGGATAGATCCTTTCAATATTATGTAGTGGCCGTCTTTGTCTCTAGTTATGGTCTTCATTTTGAAATCTATTTTATCAGATATGAGAATTGCTACCCCAGCTTTTTTTTGCTTTCCATTTGCTTGGAAAATTTTTTTCCATCCCTTCACTTTCAACCTATGTGAGTCTTTTGGTGAGAGGTGGGTCTCTTGTAAATAACATATAGATGAGTCATGCTTTCTTATCCAATCAGCTACTCTGTGTCTCTTTATGGGAGCATTCAGTCCATTTACGTTTAAGGTGATTATTGATATGTACTTATTTATTGCCATTTTTGTTTAGTGTGGTTCTATTTTTCTTCCCATTTCTACTGCTAATTACAGCAGTCCTTTTAACATTTCTTGCAGTGCTGGTTTGGTGCTAATGTATTCCCTTAGCCTTTTTTTGTCTGGGAAGCTCTTTATTTGATCTTCTATTTTGAATGATAGCCTTGCTGGGTAGAGTAGTCTTGGATTCAGATTCTTGTTTTTCATGACTTTGATTACTTCATGCCATTCTCTTCTGGCCTGTAGTGTTTCTTGTGAGAAGTCAGCGGAGAGCCTTATGGGGTTCCCTTTGTAGGTAACCTGTTGCTTCTCTCTTGCTGCTTTTAGGATTCTCTCTTTGTCTTTAATTTGTGGCATTTTAATTACTATGTGTCTTGGTGTGGGCCTGTTTGGGTTCTTCTTACTTGGGACTCTCTGTGCTTCTTGAACTTGAATGCCTTCTTCCTTCACCAAATTAGGGAAGTTTTCTGTCACTATTTATTTGAATATATTCTGTATCCCTTGCTCATTTTCTTCTTCTTCGGGGACTCCTATGATGCGAATATTATTACGTTTCCAGTTGTCCCCCAGTTCTCTTAAGCTATCTTCCTGTTTTTTAATAGTTTTTTCCGTTTGTTTTTCTGATTGGTTGATTTTTTCTACCCTGTCTTCTAATTCACTAATCCGGTCCTCAGGTTCCTCTACTCTGCTTTTTAAACCTTCCAATGTGTTTTTCATTTCAGATATGTCATTTTTTATCTCTTCTTGATGGTTTTTAATTTCCAGTTGGCTTATTTTCAGTGTCTCTATGTCCTTACTCATGCTGTTCAGCTTCCTCAAGATCATGGCTCTGAATTCTAGCTCTGTTAACATGCCTAACTGCTCCACATTGATCTCATCTTCAGTGGAGGTGTCTTGCTCTTTCATTTGGCTTCTGTTTCTGTGTTTCACCATTTTGGCTATCACTGTGGGCTTTGGAGCCTGTCAAGTTTTCCTGTGGGTGTTGGTGTTCTGCTGTTTGTGGCTCCCTCTCCTATGTTTAGATGAGCGAGGGAGGACCCACGTTAAACACCACTGTCAAGTCTTACTTTCCTGGTTAAAGTTGCCAGCCCAGGAAAGGTACTGTTATCCTCTAGCTTTTTGCCTGGAGGCTAGCAGTCCAGGTTACTTGAAGAGTTTTGGGTTGTCAGTTGATTGAAAAACTCCCTCAGGTGCTCAGCATAAGGGGCTTTTATGATGGTGGGGCAGATGCTGGTTGTTAATGAGCCTCAATTAGCACTTCAATGGCCCACAGGGTGGGGTTGGATCTCCGAGGGAGGGGCTGCTGCCTTTCCACAGAGCTCTGGGAAGGAGCAATGTGGCCACAGTCCTGTGTGGCTGCATTCTGCCAAAGCTCTGAGCGCCCTCCAAAGCCCTAGTGTCCCGACACAGTTCCAGTCCAGTCCGCCCTCCGTCTGCCGGAGCCCAAGGTGAGTGGCTGTGGCTGTTTCAGCCTCTGTCCCGGCTCTGCGCTGTGGGGCCGCCTGGGAGTGTAACCCAAGGGCGCCGCTTACAGCTGAGGCCACTGCCGAGCTGCCGATGGGCTCCCAGCCCCATCTCGCGCCTTCGCAAGCCTACGGGGATGGAGTCAGTGTCCCTCGTTGTCTGGTCCTCGCAAGATGCTTTTCTGTTGGTTTTTCCCGTTGATTTGTCTGTGTTATAGTTGTAATTCCAGTTTGGTTCTGGGAGACGGTCTGTGTAGCTCCGTTCACTCCGTCGCCATTTTTTTTGCCTATATTTATATTTTTATAAAAATCATTCTTTTCAAGGATTATTCCTCTATACTGTACATTTTATTTATAAAATATCATTCTTATAAAAATGTATGTGGAAATTAATTCCTTTTGGGCTTGAAATAGAGCATTTAAATAAAAAATTAAATTATATAAAAACATAGTGAAGTGTGTTATTTAATATTTGTCTATAGAGATGAAGAAGGAACTCTAGACACACTAGTAATCTAGAAACCTTGGCCTGTAGCGTTTCTCCTAACCTGGTTCGGCCACAGGTGGAGCCACAGTTCCTTGGCATGCCTCTGCCTAAGACTGCCTGCCTTCCAGGAACTATCCATGGTGCTTCTGGTGCTTCTTTCTGCCCATTGTTGTTGAGGAACCATCATCTCAGCAGCCAAAGCTTAATCTTAATGAGTCATGACCTGTTGATTGCAAGTAACCTTTGATCAAACTTGCCTACTTGACCTATTAAGATGTATAAACCCGTGTGCATCTCAATTACTAAATTTTTACCTACCAATGGGATTGTTTTTAGTATAAGTATTTTAAAACCTTAGCAATAAAATTTGCTGTTAATAAGGGTCTATAATTTAAATTTTTTATTTATTAAAAATGATAGATATAATTATAGAATGCTTGTAAACATAAACACCCTTTTCAGAAAAAGTTAAAATTTTTTACAGTCACGTGGCAACCAGCTTATTTGTTTGAGTTGTTTTGAGACACCAGTTAGAAAAAATTGGTAATTCTTAATAGTGTGGCAAATACTTGAATCTGGCAATTTAGATTCTGGAGCCTGTTCTGCCACTATGTAAACTTGGGCAGTTTTACGGTATAACATGAACTCACTCCTGTTTTTTTAAACCATATTTTAATTGAATAAGTATTGGTTTTGGCTTCATCATGGTTTCCTGGGAGGAATAAATGAATTAATGCCAATGAAGCATTTTTGAGCTGTATTGATTTAAGATAACACTTTATAAGGGTATTTCAATGAAAATAGATAATTTTTAAAAGTTAAAACTAATTTGTCATATAATCTACAATTTATATTTGAAATGTAAACAGAATCCTCAAGTAATCTTTTTTATTATCTTTGATTTTAGTGCTCCATGGCTTAAAGGGCAAGAACGTGCAGATTTATCTAATAGCCTTGAGGAAATATATATGTAAGTAACAAGTGATTAAAAAAATTCTGTTAGTGATTCTGTTGTGGGCTTTTGTTGGAACTGTGATATGTACGTGCATTTTCCAAAGTTTTTGTCAGGCTGCCTTTTTTTTTTTTTCTTTTTGTTAATTCTCACCCAAGGATATTTTTTAGAGAGAGCAGAAGGGAAGGAGAGAGAGAGAGAAAGAGACATCGATGTGAGAGAGACACATCAATTGGTTGCCTCCCTCATGTGCCCCAATCAGGGCTGGAGATCTAACCTGCAACCCGGGTACGTGCCCTTGACCAGGAATCGAACCCATGACCCTTTGGTCCAAGGGACAACACTCTAACCACTGAGCCACACCAGCCAGGGCAGGCTGCCTTCTTAACAAAAAGGATGTACTTGATGAGTTCTTGAAAGATTGCTTATATAATTTTATATATATAAAGCAATCACATATAGTCTTATATATTGCCCTTGACCAGGGATCAAACCTGCAACCCAGGTACATGCCCTTGACAGGAAATTGAACCTGTGACCCTCCAATACACAGGCCAACCTTCTAACCACTGAGCCACACTGACCAGGGCAAATCCACTGTATTTTTTACTGTTCTATTCATTCCACAAATAGTATATGGCAGGCACTATACTAGATCCTAGATACATATAGCAAAAACAGAAATGCTCCCTGTTTTCATGGCATCTAGAATTTACTAGTAGGAGAGATAATATGTATAACATTGTAAAAATAAATGTAAAACTGCAGCTGTGATAACTTCTGTAAAAGGATATTAATGTGTAGTACTAATTAAGTTTGAAATAAGACCTGACCTGTTGTAGGAGGTCAGGGATAGCTAATTTGACTTAACAGCTGAGTTACTTAGGTGAAAATAACTCCTGTGAGAGGCCACAGCATGTCAACAGCCCTCTGTCAAGGAGCTTGGCACATTTAAGACAAAATAATGGTGGTATAGTGGGAAGAGAGAGCAGGGCCTGCAGACCAATGAGTCTTGGGTTTGATTCCAGTGAAGGGCACGTACTTTGGTTGCATTTCGCCCCCAGCCCTCTATCTGATGATAAATGGAAAAGTAGCCTTGGGTGAGGATAAAAATTTTTAAAAAGTGCTTGAATAAACCAAGTTCAATGGAAGCATTTTCATACATGTGGTCTAAATAGCAATACGCATTCTGTTTTTAAGTTTTCTGTGACTTTTAATAATCTTTTTCTATAAAATTCCAGCAGGGGGCAGCAAGTGAAAAATATTGGTCTTTGGAAATTAAACCTATGAGATAAATGTATGAATATAGTTATTCAATGTTTATACTTTTATTATGTTCTAACTATTATAACTATCTAGATTTTTATATTAATTTAGCATCATTTTGAATGCTAAATTTGATTTTTACCTAGATAGGAAGATAAATTCTAGTTTAGGGAGGTAAGAAGTCAGAAAACTAGCAGTTTCTCCATAAGCATTTATTGACTATATCCTATATGCTGGCTCTCTAATAGGAATTTGGAATTTAAAAAATAAGAGAGATGTGTACCAATACAATAATTATGACATAATTACTATGAGGTTAGCATTTTTTAGAGATTTTAGCAACTATCTGGGCATATAGGTGAGGTTGTAAAGGAGGGTTCCACTGTGAAGGTGACTACTGAGGACAGTGGTTGCCAGGTAATCCAAGGGGGGAAGGTTTTCTGATAGATGGGAACTGCATGAGCCAAATCATGTCGTTGTGAAGCAACCTGGCATCTTCAGAGTTCAGCAAGTAGTTTACGTTGCCAGGTATATAGATTGAGGTAGGTATAAGGAGAAAGAACCTATAAGATGGATTAAGGAGTTTAGGCATTATCTTGTGAACTCTAGGAGTTTTAGGAAGGGAAATGATTTCATCAGATTTGTGTGGCAGTGTGGAGGATGGGCTGTGAAATAATTTGAAGGAAGGAATAGAGCAGTCAGTAGCTCAGGAGGAAGGTGATGGAGGCCTTTATTAAGGCAACAAGAATGCCAGTGGAGAAAAATGGACAGTTAAAGAAATACTTAAGAATATAAACTAGGCTTTGGTGATTGATTAAATGTAGATTAATTTGCCTATCATAATTTTTTTTTTTTTTTGTGGTACGTGCCCCTAGCAGGAACCGATCCCGGGACTCTCTGGTCCTCAGGCCAACGCTCAACTGCTGAGCCAAACTGGCCAGGGCGCCTATCATAATATTTTTGTTTAAATATTTTGCATGTGGTTAAAAGGTAAATAACATTTAGAAATACTTAGAACAATTGGTGTTGTTGAAGAAAAAAATGAAAGAAATTTGAATTTTTTTTGTAGTACTTGAATTTATGATAGTCCACTTCAACAATATTTAATTTAAAAATCTAAGAAAATCATTATTTTAAATGCCCACAGCTCTTCACATTTTGATGTATCATGGAGTCTTAGATTTAAAAGTTGGAGAGTGAGGCTTGTCAAAGCAAAAATTGCCCTGTACAAAGTTAAACAGGCAAAAAATTATTCAAACTATTGTAATAGGGGAGAGCAGGCCAGAATTCAGTCTGAGCTCAACTTCCTGAAACAAAAGGAAGGAGGATTTTTAAGGGGTGGGATGAGCTAGTAGAAAAGTCCCAGAAGATTTGGGGGGAGGTTGATCAATGAGATATGTTTAGCACATTGTTATTTCCTGAGTGCAAATGAATTTTTCTGTTATTAGGCCATCTGTTTTTGCTAATTATTGTTCCTCAGAAGTTAGGTGCCTATCCACCCACAGAGACTGGAGATAGGGGCACTGTCATCCTTGATGGTTACACTGTAAAAGAATGGCTCTCAGGTCCTTGAGAAGGTACTCCTGGGCTGTAAAGCTGACAAGAGCCTTCTAAAAAGATGACCATATATCCCAGAGGAGCAAAGAATTTATAACAAGTTTTCTGAAGAAAATGTTCTAAGAAAAGGGAGGTCATGGACTAGAGTCGGGTTCTGCTTGTCTGAAGTTGAGTCAAGCTGAAGTTTTTGGTCAGGCCTCTGGAGTCAGTTTTTGAAATAATGTGACCTCTTTGATTATGTTTTCTCATTTGTAAAATGAGGATAAAAGAATATTGAGGATTAAATAATATAATTTATTAAATTCTTCAACACTGTAGAATAACAACTCTCATTTTTGTTCTTATTGAAAGATTCGTCTCATCTAATTTTGTCATTTTGAAAATGAGATGACACAAACGCAGAGACATCAAGTGTTTGTCTAATCATACAACTTAGTTGTGCATTTTAGTGAGTGCTTTTACCCCCCCCCCCCTTTTTTTAAGACAGAGTGGAAGGGAGGGAGGGGGAGAGAGAGAAAGATCGATGCTGAGAGAGAGAAAGATCGATGTGAGAGAGACACATCAACTGGTTGCCCCCCACACAACTGGTGATCGAACCTACAATCCAGGTATGAGCCCTTGACCAAGAATCAAACCAGTGACCCTTGGATCTGTGGGCCGACGCTCTAACCACTGAGCCAAACCAGCCAGGGCGAGTGCCTTTACCCTTAAATCAAATATAAATATTGGAAAATTAAAAATACAAAAACTAGAACCACGGGTAAAAGTAGAGTCACAAGTAACTTGACTTTGTTTTGACATTCTGAGTTGGATGGTAGTTATTTAAGAATAGTTATTCACAAAATATTTCAACTGAATATCAGTTTTTAATCCTGTTTGCTCTTTTATTCAATTTGAAATAACTTTTGTTCCAGGCTTGTTTTTTTTTTTTTTTTTTAATCCTTACCTGAGGATATTTTTCTATTCATCATCAGATAGAGTGGGAGGGAAGGAGAGAGAGAGAGAGAGGGAGAGAGAGAAACATATATGTGGGAGAGACACATTGATAGGTTGCCTCCTGGCACAACCTGACCAGGGCTGGGGATGAACCACAGCTGAGGTACATGCCCTTGACCGGAATCGAACCCGTGACTTTTTGGTCTGTGGGCCAACGCTCCAACCACTGAACCAAATTGGCCAGGGCTGGTCCAGACTTTTTATATTTAGCTACTTTACCATAATTTAACTTCATAAATGAAAGCCTGATACCCCACTCTATAATGAGTTCTCAGATTTTGCACCAGAGTCTTTAGGATTTAGCTGGCTTCCTCTAGACCTGTTGGGAGAGTGGAGGAGTGGCAGAAGGGAGAACTCCCAGCTTTTGTTTGTTTTAATTTGTTTCTAATTCTGCCAGAGGTTTCATTACAGTAGTGGCAAAAGTTTGAAAACCAAATCCTAGTGGATAGTTAGAAGATAAAAACCAACTATTGTCATAAGAGAAAACACAAACACAGCAGTAGTAACAACAAATTTTTAAAAAACCCACCATCTCTGGTAAAACTTTGGAGTCCAAGGGAAAGAATAATTTTCATTTTCTTCACGAAACCTTTCACACCCACTACAACTTCCTTCCACTGGATTTCAGTAAGTCGTGTTAAATACTGGAGAAGAAGGAAGCATCCGTCAATGATGGGCAGAAGTGCTGTTGTATATTCTTCTGCAGGAGGCCATAAGGAGAGGTGATTTGGAGTTAAAGTTTAATTTCTTCTTTATTATTTGGAAATGTTACTTATTAATTGTTGTAGTTCTTCTAAAGTGTATTTCCCCCTACAAAATCTGAATGTAAATGGATATTCACAGGGATACTTTTCCTTTCTCAAAGGGTGAATTAAGAAAGCATTTTCTACACGTCTTCTATATAGTAGGTGTTCAGTAAACACTAGATATTAGTATTACTGCTTTTGGTAGTGATGATGTGAAGTACTCAACAGAATGAGATTATGAGATGGAAAGAATTACATACAAAACCTTACATTTGTAAGGATGATGATTACAAACACAAATAAGAGACCTAGTTTTCTCATTTCCTACCATACCCCCAGGGCTGCATGTAGTGCTCCGTTTATAGGCCCTTAAAGATTTGTTAAATGAATTAAGATAGATTCACTTAAAAAGAAACTACTATTGCAAAGTAAGACAAGATGCTCTAAACCTCTGTTTTATAGATGAGGAAACTGAGTCTTAGAGTTCAGGTGGCTTACTTGCCCAAAGGCACAGCTGTTGATGGGAGAGCTAACTGTAGTGGGCAACCTGAGCTTGGGAGTAAGTCTGCATTCACATTCTAGCTCTGAGCTTCTTACTGCTTGTGAGACTGTCTTAGACAAGTTAACTGATCCCTCTAGGTCTGTTTTCTCATTTGTACAATGGGGAAATGATCCTACTTCATCAGACAGGTATGAGTGTTAAATGTGTTGATACAGATAACATACTTTGCTCATAGTATGTTTTACTTTTCGCTGTTTCTCTCTATATACCTTTAAGTCTTAATGAAAAGAGGGATGGGAGTGGAAAATGTTTAAAAGAAACTCAACCAACATTCTCAGTTTTTAAAAACCCTTCCAATTGATTTTTGTTTCCTCTAAAAAAGACAGGTTACTACAGAACACAAAGGTTTGTTTTAGTGCTAAGGAATCATGGGTGAGATGGGGAGGATTTGAATGATTTGAAAAGTGTTTTCTACTCTGTGTGTGTTTTGGAAGTTTCCTTTGATGGGTGCTGATGAGTAGTGATAAAGAGAAATAATGGTTTCAAGGGAAACTTTTAGAGGAAGTTGGTGAGATGTTGTATGAAGTGGTGTGGTGATTTCTTTACAACTTATCTAAAATTAGTGTCATTCCCTAACTTGCAGGAGTGGGGGATCTTTTTTTCTGCCAAGGGCTATTTGGATATTTATAATAATTCACGGGCCATACAAAATTATAAGTTTAAAAATTAGCCTGCTATATTTGGTCAGGCTAATTTGAGGGCCTTCTACAGCCCGAGAGCCAGATGTTCCCCACCCTTGCTGAAAAGAGTAGACACTAGGGCTTTTATTTTATTGCTGTTGTGATTATTTAACATAACGCTATGGACTTGAACCGTGACACATTATTTTTCTCAATGATCCTTTGAGATGAATTTAATTATCAGAGGCATCAGACATTATTTGGAACCAAAATGAATCAATTTGGGCAAGAATATTTTGTCAAAAACAAAATATGAATGTAAAATTGTTGCATTGATTTGCTTTTAAGTCTTGTAAATTGGCTGTCTGAGGGAGTTCCTCAAGTGCTTTGCATTCTTCTTTGTTGAGATAAGTATACCAAATGATAACCGTACCAGATATGTGGCTTGAAATTGTTTAAAATGTTTAGAAAAGCAAGCAATGATGGGACATTAATACTGCGAAACTAACTTGCATTTACATCTATCTAAATCATCCAGTTCAAGTTAATAAATTTTCTTTCTCTTCTTTGGTTGCAACATTTCTGCTTATTTTAAGTAATCAATGTTCATTTTGGAGCCAGTTGTAATTTTTAATGTTGATATAAACTATATTATGTACTCATCCATAAATGTTAGTAAATCCCATGTTTTTATAAATTCCTTTTTTAAAAGGCATGGCTAGATGCATATAATGTCTTAAATTGTAAATATGTCTGTATTTTTTGAATTTGAGAAGGCCAATTTTTTTAAATAACATTTTTCCCCTGCATTTTGTTTAGACAGAACATTGGTGAAAGTATTCTTTACCTGTGGGTGGAGAAAATAAGAGATGTTCTAATACAAAAATCTCAGATGACAGAACCAGGTAAGATTGAAAAATATTATCAGTGCCATTTTAATTTATAATAATTAAATTTTCACATGGATATTCTGATTGAAGTTTTTAACAAAAATCTGTATTCTGTTTTATAGTTTATGTATGATAAAATATATGTTTTCTGGAAAGTTCATTTACTCATGTAATTATGGTTCTTTGTATAAGGTTTAGCTCTTTTGGTTTAATATTATAGCCTTATAGAAATAGGATTATATGGTTAAAGAACATGGATCAAAAAAATCTCTTCTTGCCCTGGCTGGTTTGGCTCAGCAGTTAGAGCATCGGCCTGGGGTCCAGAGAGACCCAGGTTCGGTTCCCGCTAAGGGCACATACCTCGGTTGCAATTTGTCCCCAGCCCTGGTTGGGTCTTGTGGGTGGCAACCACTTGATGTGTCCCTTTCACGTTGATGTTTCTCTCTCTCTCTCTCTCTCTCTCTCTCTCTCTCTTCCTCCCACTCAGGTGAGGATTAAAAAAAAAAAATCTCTTTTTTCTTTGACTATTGTTAAGGTAATAGGTTCATTCCTCATGAATTTTTAGACTGTATAAGTTAGACATTATATTTTTAGAAAAAGAACTTTGAAAAACATATTGATATTTAGGGTATAAAAATTGACTTTGAAATTTGATTTTTAAAATTGAATTGTAATTCATAGACCATAATTATTCACCCTTTTAAAATGTATAATTGAGTGGTTTTTAGTATATTTCAAAGTTGTGCAGCCATCACCACTGCCTAATTTCAGGACATTTGAAAATTGTTATTTTGCTCTGTTATTTTATTGAATCATTACGTATGTGACAACACGGACATTTCTAATGTTTCTTACTTACTTTGCTAGTCTTTGTTTCACTTACCACAAAGACCTTTTAGGGAGAAAAGTAACTCTATTTAACCTGATTTTATTTCCAAATAGAGTTTTACTGTTATCATTGATAGAATGGTTTTCAATTTGGAAAAATAGTAATTAAAAAAAACCCAAAAAACCCATTAGTTTATTTACAAATGTTTTAGAAAGTTAGTACAGAGAACCAGTTACTTAGGACTCCCCTAGAAAATCAGTGTACATTTAAAGTCAATAGTATATATTTTTTTCAGAGCCTTTTACTGTTTTTCTGTGGAAGCAAGTGTTTTTACTGCTTCCATTAAAATCAAAGATATAAATAGTGTGAAGATATTTTGTCCATGTGACAAACTTTTTTGAAGTATCTTCCTTAACTTTTTATGATCCATAAATGATTTTATAGCATTTCAGGGCATCTATGAGAAAAGTAGTCTCTGAGAAGTACAAATTGATTGTTGAAACTGACAAACCTCAAATGGAAAGGAGGGTGATGGGAAGAGATAAACCAAAGAACTTATATGCATATATGCATAACCAATGGACACAGACAACAGTGTGGGGAAGACATGAGGGGGAGGGGAGTGGGGAAGACAGGAGGGGGAGGGGGTCATGGGGAAAAAAAGAGGGACAGTTGTAATACATTCAACAATAAAGATAAGTTTAAAAAATTTTGATTTTTGCCAGCCCACCTTTCTAGAGTGTGGGATAATTGCAAAAATGAAATGTATACCAGTGAAAATGTATGACTTTAAAAAGCCTGGGGTCACTCAACTCTTAGGAAATTAAAAAAATTACTGATCTTAAAAATATTTTCCCTTTCCCACCTGTATTCATAATTTAGTTTAGCCACTCTTCAGATTTTAGAATGATTGATTTGTTTTATATTTGTATAATTTTTAGAAATTTTGTTTGGAATGTTTTATCAAAAACTGTTTTTGTAGACTTCATTTTAAAAGAAGTGGCAAGCCCTGGCCGGTTTGGCTCAGCAGTTAGAGCATCGGCCTTTGGTCCAGAGAGACCCGGGTTTCGTTCCCGCTAAGGGCACATACCTCGGTTACAGTTTGTCCCCGGCCCTGGTTGGGGTCGTGCGGGTGGCAACCACTCCATGTGTCCCTTTCACGTTGATGTTTCTCTCTCTTTCCCTCCCACTCTATCTGAACAAAAAATGGAAAAATGTCCTCAGGTGAGGATAAAAAAAAAAAAATAATATAGTAGTGTTATTTTTAAAAAATAAAAAAATAAAAGGAGTGGCAAGGAGGGAGGGTGTGTGTGAGAGAGAGAAACATTGATGTGAGAGAGACACATCAGTTGGTTATCTCCTGCATGACTTCAGCCTGTGCAGGGGATCAAACCCGAAACCCAGTTTTGATCTCCCTGACCGGGAATCGAACCTGTGACCCTTTGGTCCACGGGCTGACACTTTAACTGCTGAGCAAGACCAGCCAGGGCTTCAGTAGAAAATTATTCCTATTATTACATATTGTTTTTTTCTACTTTAGAACATTAAATTTTGAAATAATTGTATACAACTATTAATATGTTTTAAAAATTCTGAACTAAGTTTAGACTTACAGAAAAGTTGCAGAAATGGTACAAAGAGCTTATGTCTCTCGCTGTGCATCACCTAATAACATCCTACTTGACCACAGTATCATCATCAAGAACAGAAAAGTAGCACTTGTGTAATATGAACTAAAGAGATTATTCAAATTTTACTAATTTTTTTTTTTTTTTATCCTCATCCGAGGACATTTTTCCATTTTTTACTGAGATAGAGTGGGAAGGAGAGAGAGGAAGAGAGAGAAACATCGATGTGAAAGGGACACATCGAGTGGCTGCCACCTACACAACCCAACCAGGGCCGGGGACAAACTGCAGCCAAGGTACGTGCCCTTAGCGGGAACCGAACCCAGGTCTCTGTGCACTGCAGGCTGACGCTCTAACCGCTGAGCCAAACCGGCCAGGGCCAAATTTTACTAATTTTTATACTAATGCTCTTTCGGCTTTTATAGGATCTTGTCCAGGATTTTATGGTGCATTTAGTTATTTTTTTCTTACTCTCTTCTAGTCTCTAAACATTTCCTCAGTCTTTCTCTGACTTTTCTGACCATTTATGACTTGACACTTTGGAAGAGAAGTGATTATTTTGTAGAGTGGTCCTCAATTTGGATTTGTTTGTTATTTTCTCATGATTGGAGTAAGATTAGGCGTTTTGCTAATAATACCACAAAAATGATATTGTGTCCTTCATAATACAATGTATCAAGGAATTCATATCAGTATGCTTTATTATTGGTGATTACCCCTTGGTTAAGGTTGTATCTGCTAGATGTCAGCCCTGCAAAGTCCCTGTTTTAGTCACAGTTCTCCAGAGAAACAGAACCAATAGGAGGTGTATATATTTTTGTGTGTATGTATATTTAAAAAAGAGAGAGAAAAAAGGAGAAAGAGATGGGGGTGAGAAGGAGGGGGAGAGAGGGAGAGATTGATTTATTTTAAGGAATTGGCTTACCAGATTGTGGAGTCTGGCAAGTCCAAAATCTGCAGGGCAGGCTGAAGACCGACCTAGGCAAGAATTGATGTTGCAGTTCAAGTCTGTAGGCTGTCTGCTGGCAGAATTCCCTTTTTCTCTGGGTAGGTCAGTCCTTTTTCTATTAAGACCTGAACTGGATGAAGCTTACTCACATTATTGAAGGCAGTCTGCTTTACTCAGAGTCATCTGACTTGAATGATAATTCCTTCCAAGAAATATCTTTACAGAAACATCTAGAATAGTGCTTGACCAAATATTTGGGTACTGTGACCTAGCCAAATTGACATACAATTTATCATCAAAGTTACTCTCTTTCCCTTTGTAGTTTATAAGTAAGTATCTTGGGAGAGATACTTTGAGGATATGCTAATATCCTATTCCTTCTTAAACTTTCACTAATTTTAGTATTTATTAATATCTCGTCAACAGTATTTATCACAATATTTAGGTGTTTGCCTGTTGATGGTTCTCTTTTCCTGCTTTCCTTCTACGTGTATTCACCAGAATTTTTTTGTGAGGAAGAGACGTCTCTTCTCCCCATTTATTTATTTGATTATTTATTTATATCAGCATGAACACTTGTATTATTTTATTCCATGGGTTAAAGTGTTATACTGTCATTTTTTTGTTGCTCGAATTGTTAAAAGTGTGAGTGTTAGGAGTTCCTTCAGGTAGGCTCCTGTGTTCCTTTGATAAGCTGCCATCTTTTTTTTGAGCATTTTAAAAAAACTTTGGAATCATAAAATTTCCAGGATCATCCTGTACTATCCTTGCTCCAACCCTGGAATCAACCATCTTTCATTGAAACCCTGATGCCTTCTATTAAAGAATGGTGTTTAGAGACGAAGTTAACAATTTTTAAGTGGAACTCCTTACTGTCTTTGTAGATCACTCATAATGTCTCATATCCACATAGGTCCAGAGGTAAAGAAGAAAACTGAAGAGGAAGATGTTGAATGTGAAGATGATATCCTTTTAACCTGCCAACCAGAAAACCCAGTGAGAGCATTGGATTTCGATGTCAGTGAAAATCAAACAGGTATAGTTTTTTTGAGTAAAGTAGGATGGTAATATTATGAATTGTTTTGGGAATGGTTTGGAAATTTAGTAAACTCCCATTTAAAATAGTTATTAATTTGCAGAAAATTGAGTTTTTTTTTTCTGCCTGCTAGCCATTTTGGTGTTTGCTGGGTCTGTCAGAATGGTGAGGAAAAAAAAAATAGAAACTTATTTTATTTCTTTGCTACTTTCCAGAGTTTTGAATAGTGATGGGAGAAATTGAAACTAAGAAAAGCTGTGTTTTCAATTCACATTTTAATTCACACATTTCTGTTTTGAAATTCTCAGCTGTTTCCTGATGTCTCAGAGTTAAATTCTAGTTTATACTCACAAAATAAATATCGTAATTGAATGTACAACCACTGAATTAAGGCTAGTAAAATGCCTTTAATTTCAGATTTTAGTTCTTGTGTAAGCCAATTTGTTCCATAATCTAGTGGTATTCAACTTATGAAAGGTAAATCAGTTCTATGTGAAAATCAGAAAGTCAACAATATTTTGTGTTCCATTTTAATATATTACAATTTTGAATGATATCATCAGTTTCCTCAAGTCTCTTACAAAATATGATAGACCAGAGGGAACTTTCATTCTCTTTGAAGTTAAGCAGTTTCCTATGCCATTCTACAGTAGCTTTTAACCAGTACTCTGAAGGTTTAAAGTTCTTGCTTGGTGTCTGAGGACTAGTGGAAGGGGATGAAGAGGGGAGAGGATCCAGGACTCCTACCCCTGTTCAGGCTAAGTAGCCCCCATTTTATTCATCTGTCTTTGTGGATTTGGCATTAAATTTCCTTTGGGAAACAGGATCCACTATTAAAAGAGTGAAAACCACAGTCAATAAACATTAGCTAGTTCATATGGACCTTAGTACTGTACTAGTACAGTGGTCACAGTCCGTTCAAGAGGAGGACACTCAGGGAAGGTAAAACATCCTTCATAAACCGGGTTTTTTTTGTGCTGGTCCTACCACACACAATGCAGTGACTGGCAAATTGTTTAAAGCTCTTCAGAAATATTTTTACATGTGTTAGTTGAAGTATTTCATCAATTGTAAGGCAAACTGACTTGGTAAGATACAACAGGTCAGTGAATAGAAATAGGTAAACATTTTAATTCTTTTTTCCTGAATAACTTTTCATCCTAAATGAGGCAGGTACAGCAGCCAGGATGGTTGATAAGTTTCTCTTTGTCTCTCTTTTTTTAAAATTGAATTTATTGGGGTGACATTGATTAATAAAAATGTATAGATTTCAGGTGTACAGTTCTATAATACATCATCTGTATATTGTATGTTTATCACCCCAGGTCAAGTCTTTTTTCATCACCATTTATCTCCCCTTTACCTTCTTCATAAGTTTGTCACTAGAGTTAAGGGTAAATTGGTGGTTCTTAAATTTGTTTAAGAGATAAAATAACTGGAAATTATGATACACTATGGAATACCAATTTGGTGTATTATTGACATATTTAATTCAATCCTATGAAATAAGAACAGTTTTCTTAGCAGAAGACATTATATTGTAGCTGTATAAAGTAATGTCATAGGTTTCCCAACCCTGAGGTCCTTCAACAATAGAATGGATAAATAAATTATGGTATATTGGCAGCTGTCAATCTTGTGTGTCTCAAGGCTCCTTTATACTCTTAGTCATACCAACTTACGCTATTGCAACAGTCCAGGATTTGAGTCCCAACCCACCACTTCCACTGGGTGACCTTGGCAGGTGAAAATCATTTATAAGTTAAGCAGATTTATGTGTAATATATTTGGAAACTTTTTACTTAAATATAATTTAATTTAATAGACAACTATTAATTGCTATTTGGGTTGATTTGCCGTATTATGTACTTTTCTTTCCCAGCTCTCCCCCTCCACCCATATCATTGCCATTGTTTTAGAATATGAATGTATGAATTTAAAAAATAATAGTAATGTAATTCTTTAAATTTATAGAAATAGAAGAATTACCTCCGATTGATCATGGCATTCCTATTACAGACCGAAGAAGTACTTTTCAGGCACATTTGGCTCCAGTAGTTTGTCCCAAACAGGTAAAGTCACTATGTCCAGTTCACTTTGATGTTGTTTCACGAAAGTAATTCAAGTAAATGGTTTTACAATAATGCCCTTACATTTACTGTTACTAATAGTTTAATTTTCATGTAAGATCAAAACTATTGGCTCATTTTTCTACTCTCCAAATTACTGTGAATCATGGAAGATTTCTTTTGTTTCTGCTTGTCACTGCTTTTAAAATTGTATCTAAACTCTGATTAGTGCTTAACCCTCTAATGCATTTTCAAACAAGAAAAACCCATTGTGGTGCTGTAGAAAATTATGATGTTTATAGTTTGTTAAAAATAATTATTTATGCCCTGGCTGGTTTAGTTCGTTGGGAGTGTCATCCTGTACGTCAGAATGTTTCAGGTTCACTTCCCAGTCAGGGTACATACTAGGTTGTAGGTTTGATCCCCAGTCAGGGCGTGTATGGGAGGCAACCAGTTGATGTTTTATTCTCTCTCTCTTTCTTCTTTTCTCTTTAAAATTAAAAAAAAAAAAAAAATTGTCCTGTCTCATGGGAGTTCTAGAAAACCAAGTCTGTTCCATTGTTGCCCAGTTAAGGGGGCAGTGCAAAGACTGTCTGAGCCTGTTCTTTCCCACTTGGATTCCTTTTCCTTTCTGCTTCCTGATCTTAGGTGACTTGATTTCCACAAAAGGATAATATCAAATGGGAGGCTTTCATTTAAATATATATATATATATATATTTTTTTCCAATTGGTTTTAGATAGAGTGGGAGGGAGGGAGGGACAGAGAGAGAGAAACATTGATGTGAGAGAGACATATCGATTGGTTGCCTCCCGCATGACCCTGAGTAGGGCCCGATTGAACCTGCAACTCAGGTACATGCCCTTGACCGTGAATCAAACCTACGACCCCTTGGTCTGTGGGCCGATGCTCTAACTCTGAGCCAAACTGGCCAGGGCAGGAGATTTCGTTTAAAAACTATGTTCCTAGGTCTTTGTCTTTCTTATTCTCTTTCAACAGAATCATTTTCTTCTCCCTTGCTGCTGCTATAATCTACCCTAGTTTAAACTTTATTGATGTAAGGGACAATTTTATTACTACCTATAAAGTTAAATTAACAACAACAAAAAAGTCTCATTAACTTAGCATAGGTTTTAAGCATTAGTCTCTTCCCTTTGGTCTTACAGCTACTTTATTCTCTAAGTCCTTCTAAAGTCCTGACCTATAGAGATACAGTTCTTTGTGTCAGGCTGCCCTTTCATCCTGTTTTTTTTAAAATCCTCACTCAAGGATATTTTCCTTTCTGTTTATCTTCAGATAGAGTGGAGGGGCGGGGGTGGAGAGAGAAACATTGACGTGAGAGAGAGACATGGACTGGTTGCCTCCAGTAAGACCCCGACCAGGGCCAGGGATTGAACTGCAACTGAGGCATGTGCCCTTGACCAGAATTGAACCTGTGACTCTTTGGTCTGTGGGCCGATGCTCTAACCGCCGAACCAAACCCACCAGGGCTCACCCTGTGTTTTAGTCTCTGGAAGAGGCAATTCCTTTCTTCATGGGTTTGTGGTCAAGATAACAGCTTTCGGTGCAAGTTTCTGGGCTTTTTTCTTAGGAGCCCTATTTTGCTCTTGACCCTTCCTCATAATCTTTTTTTTTTTTATCCTCACCGGAGGACATTTTTTCATTTTTTTGTTCAGATAGAGTGGGAGGGGGAGAGAGAGAGAGAGAGAGAGAGAGAGAGAGAGAGAGAGAGAGAGAGACATCCACGTGAAAGGGACACATCGAGTGGCTGCCACCCGCACACAACGCAACCAGGGCCGGGGACAAACTGCAACCGAGGTACGTGCCCTTAGCGGGAACCGAACCTGGGTCTCTCTGGACCGCAGGCCGACGCTCTAACCGCTGAGCCAAACTGGCCAGGGCCTCATAATCTTTTTTTTTTTTTAATACGTTTTTATTGATTTTAGAGACAGGGAGAGGGAGAGGGGGTGGGGGAGGGGGAGGGGGAGGAGAGAAACACATTGATTAGCTGCCTCCTGCCCATCCCCTACCTGGGGTTGAGCTCACAACCCAGGAATTGAACCAGTACCACCCCTGGGTGCATGGGATGATGCTCAAACAACTGAGCCACATGGGCCAGGGCTACCTTTACTCATAATCTTATTGTCAGGATCCTCCTTAGACGTTCTGTTCTGAATCTGTTCACCCTGCATCCTTTTTCTGTTTCTGATTATATTCACTTAGACTTACGGTATCAAAATCTTTGAGAGCTCAAATAAATCTTAGAGGTCAACATCTATTTGATTGATCGAAAATCTGAGCACACAAAATATTAAAAAAATAATAAACATAAGATTATACAATTTCTGATCCAAATTGGTCTCCCTGGCTCCAACTCAGTCTTCCCTGCCTCCAGTATTTCTTGCATACTCCTTGCCAGTTGCCTTTCTAAAAAACATATGACCATGTGTCTCTTCCTAGGACTCCCTCACGTAATCTTTACAGGTTTTCATTGTCTACAAGGAAAAATCATCCTTGTTATACAAAGTGCTTTTTGATATGACCCGAATTTTATCATTCCTTATGATCACTTCCTGAACCTTTCTCTTTATTTTTTTTTTAAAGAATTACCTTTATTGATTTTAGAGAGAGAGAGAGAAACATTGATGTGAGAAACATCAATGTGAGAGAGAAACATCAATCAGTTGCCTTCTGCATGTGCCCTGACCAGGGTTCGAACTTTAAACCTGGGTGGTACCCTGTCTGGGAATCGAACTCACTACCTTTTGGTGTGTGGGACACTGCTCTAACCAACTGAACCTTTCTCTTCTATGTCCCTGCTAGGGTAGCTAGATAAAATATAGGATATCTAGTTATATTGGAATTTCAGATTAAAATTATTACATGGGACATATAATAAAAATTGATTTGTGATTGATCTGAAATTTCAGTTTAAGCATTCTTTATTTTTATTTGCTAAATCTGGTACATCTGCATGTTCTGTTTCTTCTGAATATAATGGCTTCTTCCTGCTCCATCCCTTCTTCCCTTTTGATGCAGAAAAAAATTGCCACCTCTCTTTTCAAGATTTGGCTCATGTTATTTCCTCTATGAACCTTACAGGACTCCCAGAGAGCATTTGGGTTTTATAAAATGTGGAACATACCATTATTGTGTACTTGTTATACTGGATACATAAATTTGGTAAATTTTCAGAGCTCATTTTTAGAAATTCTCATAATCACATATAAACTACATGGGGAAACATTTTTCATGTTTAAGTACCTGAGTCATGGTTAGTGCTCAAGTGTTTTTTTGATAATTGGTATTTAGAAATCAGGTCTGTCATTTTTATACCAATTTTGAGTACCAGATTCTGCCCGTGAAATGAGGAGAAAACTTTGGAAATGGCTTTTTCAGAGTGTAGAAGATTCTTTAAATAACTTTCTGTGCCACAGTTTCATATCAGTATGCTTTAAGATATTTTTCTAGTATTTCTTTACAGAGAAAATAAAATGTGTATGTTTATTTATTTGTATTACTGCTGTTTTTAAGGTGAAAATGGTTCTTGCCAAATTGTATGAGAATAAGAAAATAGCTAGTGCCACCCACAACATCTATGCTTACCGGTGAGTGAACATTACAGTTTTAGGAATGTGTAATTTGTAAAAAGTGGGAGAAACTGATGCATGATTTTAAAATAATAGTTATTATATATATTTTTTATTATAAAAGTAATTGTGTAGAATATTTTGAAACTTCAGGAAAGAAAAAAAATCAGAGGGAAAATCAGTCATTTTCTACCATTAAATATAACCAATTATATTTTATATATTTTCTGTCTTTTCTATGCAAAGTTTATATTTTCAGTGCTTTGCTCTAGCATTCTTTCTTTTCTTAATTTACAAAAACATTTTTCCATGTTGTAATTGCTTTATAAACATTATTTTAATGGTTGTGTAATATTTTTTGGAGGCTTCAAACTGCAATTTATTTAACCATTTCCTTTTTGTTTTAATTTTCCTTATGTTTCACTGTTATAAAGAATAGTCCGTTAACATCTTCGTTAACTTTTAGATTATTTCCTCAGGATACGTTCTGGTTGCTTCAGATTCTTTTCTGAAATGAAATAGGGGTATGATTAAAAAGGAAGAAAGAATAGTTTCCTAGAAGTAAAATTATCAAAAAGTCTGAATATTTCTGAAACCAATACATATTGCAAATTTTTTTTTCAGTTTTTCTTTGAAACTAATTTATGCTTCCATTATCTGTGAATTAAGGGTGCTTCTCTTCTGGCTTTTACTTTTGAGTACTAAGGTTTTATGCAAATCTTTGCTAATGTGTTAGTAAAGAGATGAAGGGTAAATTATTAAATATGCAGATGAGTTCAGACTTAAAAGAACATAGTTTAGGACTGAAATAAATCAGAATATAGACAGGAATTTGGTGCAGATTTAAAATGTGATTGAGACTATTTGCAAAATCTAGGCTATCTGAAACTCGAAAACTCAAAAAAATTCATCACTTTGGGTAGGTGAGTTTTTAATATTACTAAGTCACATCTCTTTAAGTTCTACAACTTACAAAAAAGTATTTGTTATATAATTCCAGAGTATCAGTGGATAGAATTTTGATGTTTTCTAATGAGTTTGGGAAATCAATATAAAAATGAGGAATTAGACTATAATGTGCTGCATTAAAAGTATTAGTAGTTACCATTCATTCACCCCACATGTTTACCATTCATTCACCCCACATGTTTATTGAGTGCCTGCTCTGTGCCAAGCACTTTAAAAAGTTAATTCTGATTATTTCAGCAACTTTGCCACTATAGAAGATCAACTTTTTTTTTTTTTTTTTTGGTATGTGCCCCTAGCGGGAACCGAACCCAGGACTCTCTGATCCACAGGCCGACGCTCCAAACCGCTGAGCCAAACCGGCCAGGGCGAAAGGTCAACTTTTTATAGATCACATAGTTGTTAAGTGGTAGAGCTGAATCTGATAATTAATTTCATTTATCTCTATTTTATTTCTGCATGGCTGTGAGTCTGCACCTTCAACAATCGCTGTACATAATACTGATTTTAAATTATCAAAAAATTAAACAATGTGCTGGATATTCTATTTCAAGCCCCAGATTTTGGGGTCTTTAAGTTCTTGTGTATTTTTGTCCTTTTGCATATTCATAGATGATCACCTGTCACTTCTCACAAATGTTGGCATGGCTGTATGTAGCAGTCCCTTCACCTCACTGCCTTATATCATTGATACTTGGGAATGAAAGAGATGAGCTGGTCAGAATTGTGTCAGATGGGACTAAAAAGGCACAAAGTGGAGGCTTGAAAGACCCTGTTGGGAGTAAAACGAATGACCTTTATTTTACACATGGATTTTAATTGTGTATTTTGAATACTTAGGGTTCTTTTAAGGTTTTGGGGCTGTGTTCCTGCTTTGGCGTTGTGGGGCACTCCTCAGGCTACTGGCACACACTGCTGTCAGATGCCACATCATTATCTTTCCGGCACGTATGGAAATGTCCATGGTGTTTCAGTTTTTAAACCTTAACTACTGATTTATATAGTCATATTTTCTTCATTTGTTCCATAAAATTATGGTGTTAGGTTATAATTATATGTAATTACAAGCCTAATAATAAACCAACCACTGACTACTTTTTGCCTTAAATTTGCCAATAATATTTTGTTTAATAGTATTAACTTTTTTTGTTAAATCCTCACTTGAGGATATTTTTCCATTTATCTTCAGATAAAGTGGGTGGGAGGGAGGGAGGAAGGGAGAGAGAGAGAGAAAGATCGATGCGAGTGAGACAGAGTAACTGGTTGTCTCCCACATGACCCCGACCAGGGTCGGGGATTGAACCGCAACCAAGGTACGTACCCTTGACTGGATTCGAACCTGCGACTCTTCGGTTTGCGGGCTGATGCTCTAACCACTGAGCCAAACTGACCAGGGCAATAATACTAAATTTCTTTTCTTCAAATGAGGTCAACTCTAAATAATAATACAGCCTGGTCATAGTAAGCAGGCAGTAAATATTTACTGAGTGAGTATATGAATAGATGAATTGATGGATAGAAAGATGAATGAATGAATGATTGCTAGAATTAATATAATTGACTTAGGTGTATAGATAAAGTAGTATCTGGCTTTTTATGGCCATAGCCAGAAAGATAGCTTTGCTATATTTGTCTAATCTTAGCAGATGGTACCATTTGTAGGAGCCTAAGAAATCCACTATATGGCATACCTTAACTGGCACTGTTTTCTTTTTATACTTGTACTTATTTGTCACGATTATTTTAGTATAATGTAGTCCTACATTATTATTCCAAATGTTAACTTTCTAGATAATTTAAGTGGGTAAAAATACCATGACTTAGCTCTGATATTGATAATTATCTAGGGTAAATTATAGAGAAAAATAAATCTTACAATTCTTACTAAAATGGGAAGATAGAAAAATACTTGACGGCTAGAATAAAATGTGGAAAAAATATAAAATTCTAAATTTTGTCGGTTTTATCACCTCCATAGTTTTTATATAGTTTTTGTCTCTTTCACTAGATCTTAGGGTCTTTGAAGACAGGAGTACACCACTTATTTCTTTTTTATTATTTCATGATACCTATTATGTATAATCTTTCTGTATATTTTACTCTCAATGAATGTTTTTCAGTGACTTTTCTCTGTAACCTCATAGCTTCAAGGTTAAATGTGTAAACTTACCTTCCATAATCATACCATTTCTGATTTAAGGGAGACACCCTTGATTCCTAGCTTTCCCAAATATATGCTCCAACCGCTGAGCCAAACTGGCCAGGGCCCAAATATAAAAAGTAGAACGTACTAGATAGTAAATTATCAATGAAAGTATATTTAATATATAGTTTAAGAAGGATTTTTTAAAACAAATATGCTGATTTTGAAAGTAAATTGATTGCAACTAGTATGAAGTATTTTGAGGTTTCACAGTGTAACAGTGTTATGTGTATTTCTAGAATATATTGTGAGGATAAACAGACCTTCTTACAGGACTGTGAGGATGATGGGGAAACAGCAGCTGGCGGGCGTCTTCTCCATCTCATGGAGGTAAGTGTAACCTAAGTCCTGTTAATCCTGTTCTGTGAGCCATAACATTTCTCAACAAGTCAGAGCTCCTTTTAGGAATAAGTAAATCAGCTAGCTATATAACATGAGATATGTTTGGTTTAATTAGTAGTTAATTTTTAAACACTGACACAGAAAATTTTAACCACTGGATATGGGGCAGAAAGCAAAGGGTTAATAATAAGTGTGTTTTCCAGTCAGAGACTGTAGAAGATTGTCTTCAGCTTTGGAAAACCTTCTCTCTTTGTTTTTGTTTTTTTTTTTGACAATTTCCTCCCTTTTATTTTTTTTGTTCTGTTTTTGTGAAATTCCTGTTAGTTGGATATTAGACTCTCTGGATAGATCCAGAATATTTCTTTTTTTTATTAAGTTGTTCATCTCATTGCCTTATGTTCTGAGACTTTTTCTTGTTTCCTAAAATTTTTATTGAATTAAAAAAATTTTTTTTGTAGTAACCATTTCTTTAATTGTCAGTAGTCATTTTTCTCTATTTTTCTTTTTTTGTAGTGTGCTGTTCTGGTTTTAGGGATGTACTATCTCCTAAAATTTCCTGAATATACTAATTAGTGTTTTGGTTTTTTTTTTTTTAAGATGTTCTCTCAAAGTTTTTCTGGTCCATTTTAGTTTGTTTATCTTGTCCTTTCTCTTTCATGCTGCTGGATTTTCTTCATCTGTCTGGTGATCATTGATTGTCCATTAATTTTAAGAATGGATTGTTTTTTTTCTAAGGTAGTTGCTATAGTTTCTTCTGCTATTGTATGTGGAGGTTTGTTTACTAACCTTGATAGGAACTCTGTGCGGGTCAGGCCTGCAGACTGATGGGCTTCACATTAAGGGAAGCATTTGACAAATGTCAAACTGAGGAGGACCTTGCTACTGGTAGGCACCAGCGATTCTCATGCAGCCCCAGTTCTCTCTAGTAGTGTGTTTGAAAGCAGGGTGTGTGTTGTTTGGCACAGGGGTAAAGGCTATCTAAAGAGCTTTTCTACTTGAAGTCACCAAGAACTGGAACCCTGCCTGCATGATTTCCCCTTTACTCTGCCCTGTTGTCCCAAAGTTTGGAATTTGAGGACACTGTGGAGCACAGTGTTTGCTTTCCAAATTTTCTTCTCATGTATAACATTCTGACCCTGAATTTCAGTAAGTGATTTCACTCTGCTCGCTCATGTGGTTCTGCCATTAAAGTCATGGGGAGATTTTATGTGCAATTTTATATATGGGTTATTTCATTTACCTTTAAAACTCATTTTTGTGTGTATCTAATTATGGTTCTGAAAATAACAGATTTTGAATGTGAGAAATGTCCTGGTGGTAGTATCACGCTGGTATGGAGGGATTCTGCTAGGACCAGATCGCTTTAAACATATCAACAACTGTGCCCGAAACATACTAGTGGAGAAGAACTACACAAATTCACCGGTAAGAGGTTATTGATATTATATCTACTGAGTTTCTCACCACTGCCTGTGAAATTAAAAAAGAAAATATTAAGAGTGAATCAGAATTTGTGTGGTGGGTTAGAAAAACCTTTAGACTTAGATTCTAGTCAAAACCATGTGACTGGCCAGTTGTGTGACCTTGGGAGGATGACTTCATCTCCTCAGACCTTAATTTCATACATTCATAGAGTTTCATAAAAACCTTAAAGACTAATATGTTTTCATTCCCTAAAATTGAGGCCCAGAGAGGTTGCAGCTGATGCTCCAGTGAACTAGATATTCTATAAACATCTGTAAAATTCCAGCATTTTCTGTTATTGTCAAAGCATCTCCTCTTTTCCCTGGGATGCCTTTAGATGTCTTCTTCGGTTACATTTTGAGGTGTTTTTTTGTTTGTTTGTTTCATATTTTGTAACTACGTTCATTTCTATTGTGTTTAAACTTTGCTGCCTTACTTTAGAAAGTGGACAATAGAATAATATTGAAATTATTTAAACATAAATCTGTTAGATAAATGAGTGTTTTCCTTGATTATTTTGTAAATTTATAAATAGACAGTAAAGGAAAGTGCTGTATAAAACAGAAAGATGATACATATCAAAGTCATTATACTTTCATTATTATACATAGTCTATATAATTAGATTTAAATTTCCTAACCCAGTATCTTCATGTAAATGGGGAGATACTACATTGATTTTTATCTTATTTCAGGAGGAATCATCTAAGGCTTTGGGAAAGAACAAAAAAGTAAGAAAGGACAAGAAGAGGAGTGAACATTAATACCTGAGACTATATGAAAGGTTAATTTGCCTATAATTATATACAAATTCCACACTCATCAAAGAGTATATTGTGCAGAGAGGGGCCCTGGACCGCTCAAGTCAGCCAGTTCATCATGGACACCAACATTATCTTTTCTTTTTTGATTATATCATCTGCCAAAAATAGAGAACTTGTGATATATTCATGTGTGTTTCAGGCTGATTCAGAAGACTTAATTTGAACTTAATCACCACTTCACCTAATTTTAGGAAGGTAATAGTTGCCCAGAGCAGTACCTGAATTAACTGTCCATTTCAGTACATGTCAAGTGCCTTTGTTAGGTGGGGAAGAGATGTCCCTGGAGGAATATAAATACCTGATTGCTTGTCATCGGGATTCTCGTTTTGTTAAATGAATATTGCCTTTTACTGCTCTTTATGGCTTATTGGAATAGGAGCTCACTGAAGATTGATCTTGTAGAGTTTCTTCTTGTAATGTTAGTTCATAAGTATGTCACTTTTCATTTTATAGTGTTCATCATTGAGTAAGGGATGAAGTTAAAATTCAGGTGTATCCATCTGCAGCTTTGTGCTGAAGTAATTCATCTAACATATTTGTTAGTATAAGTGTTTTGCCTCAATTTCTGTTGCAGATTGGTGATTGTGAAATTTCAAAAAGTGATTTCCTAGCCTTTATCTTTTTTGTTTAATTCTTGTAATGTGAAGCAATACATGTGGAGTGTCAGTAGTCTCCTCTTGCCCCTGAAATGTATTGGTGTCATATTCTTGTTTCTGTAAACAACCTGGAAGTACCTTTCTTGTGATCTCCATTGAGGAATTAGAGCTGTGCTAGAACCTATGCTGTGGTTAAATGGGTGAGAGGTGGCAGCACCCAGGTGCAGGGCAAGCGTGTGTGTGTGTGTGTGTGTGGTGTGTTTGTCCTTATAGAAGTGGGATGTACCTTCCCATCTGCACTCCAGCTGTGACTTTGTGGAAAGAAGGAACCAACCTGAGTGGCCAAACAAAGACAGTTCCTCTTCTTCCTCATGATTATCAGTTCTTCCTTTTCATCAGTGTTTTCTGTTCCTTCTTTCATCTGCAAGTTGTGTGATTTACCCCAAGGCATCCAGACAATATATTTACCTTTGAGATATAACAAGTCATTAATTGTTCCCTCTTAGAAAGGATCACAAACAGTTATTAAAAGTTACAGATTTACCTGAGATTCCCTTCCAAAGAGAGGGAGCAGAAATTAGGAGCCAATTTGTGATGGTGCTTGAGCCTGGAAAGCATCAGACAGAAGTGGACACAAATATTTTTTTTCTCTATTCTCTGATGTTTTACCTTCAAAAATAAAATCAACTTGGTATTTTTAATAAGAATCTAGTAAATAGCTTTACACTAGGATGGATTCTGAGAAATAAAATCTAAATTATATTTATTGTAAGTGTGTTTAATGTTGCCAGTTATCAAGTGTCATCAGAGGATGATATATATGTATTTAGAACACATCAGAGCCCATGAAAAATTAAGTATGTCCTATAATAACTTAAAAATTGAAATTAAAAACAATATTAAAATAATTTCAAATTTTGGCATATCAAACCTGTGATAAAAGATATAAAACAGTAAGGATTTGGTGCTGCAGAAAAATAAATGAGTTCATTTTTCTGTACCACCAAATTAGAATTTCTTTCTTGCTGATTTATCTAATATTTATTCAGGTCTTTATAGAAAACCTTTATATCTGGGATCTCATTTTTCTTTATTTAAAAAAAATACTATTTTTGCTTCTTTCTACAAAATTTTTAACCACATTTTCCTGACTGAAAAACCCAATCTCCTTTGCCCAAGGTCAATTAGTTAAGGAGAGATGTAAAAGTCTAATTCTGGAACCTGAGTTATTGCACACTCTATTTATATGGAGTCCTAACTAATAAATTTAAAAATATATCTCAATTAGAGGATTTTGAAATTCTCCAAATAATTTTACATAGCAAAATCTACGTGGTGGCATATTTTATAGTATATTATATTAGTTAAACGTATTCTCCATATGCCAGAATATAAGATCAAGTAGCATCTACTTTTTAAAAGGGAATAGCAGTATGGTGTGGAGGTATTTATCATGAAACAGAGCCTATTGGAAGAGAGCTGAATCAAACTAATCACAACTGAGAAAGAACTGTGTGAAGCAGATACTGTTTATAGGGAATGTGAAATTTATTGGGAAAATTGTAAAATCACCTTGAATTCCATTATCTAGAGATAATCATTAGTAACATTTGGTATGCACATCCTTCTATTTTTTTCCTATGCATGATTTTGTATATATGCTATTTTTCTTTCCATAAAAATGGTATTAAACTGTATATACTGTTTTGTATTTTGATATTTCATATAGAAATATATTGTTAACATTCTCCCATTTCAATAAATATTCTATGGCTTAATTTCTTATGGCTATATCATATTTTATCTTCTGGGTATATCATAATGTACTAACTTATTGCTGCTTGTTTTCAGTTTTTTCCAATTTTTCACTTATAAACAACTATGAAAAAAATAATTTATTGCAGATTTTTATATATTATCTCTGGTTACTTTGCTAGGAAAAAATCCTAGAAATGGAATTTCTTGGTTAAATGTTTGCACATTCTAATAACTTGATTGGTTTAGACAAATTACTCTGTAGAAAGTTTATCAGCTATACCCCTATTAGCACTGTGTTAGAATACACAGTACTTAGAATAACAATCAAAGATGTGGAAAAAATAAGCAGTCTCATAGTTTGTACCAATCATTTCTTTAATTGATCTTTTTTGTTCTCTCTCCCTGATTTCTGACACCAGAATTAATTTGGTCTGTTTTGACTTTTTTTAAGTTCAAACACAGTATGCACTCTTGTTTAGGCTTCTTTAGTTCCAACATTTTGTGGGATTCATCTGGTTTGTTGCATGTAGCAGTTTCTTGTTTATCACTGCATAGTATTCCATTGAATGAACATGACAATTTATCAATTCTGTTTATGGATGTTTGGGTTTCCAGTTTGAGGCTATTACAATTAGTGCAGCTATGAACATTCTTGCACATGGCTTTTGGTTAACATATATACGCATTTCTAAAACATGCATACCTAGAAATGGATTTGCTGAGTCATAGGATATATATATGTGGAGCTTTAGTATATACTGCCTGCTGATGTGCTGATAAATTTTAAACAACTGGATCTGGGGTGGGTGCTGATTTATAACGTTTGCCAGTTCTTGTGGTGTAAATACCCCCATTCTGTCCAATTTCAAGCTACCAGTGTGAAATCAGCTGACTCACAAAATCCCATACAATTTAACAGTCACTTCTTGGGCACTCCAGCACCCATCATTCATACTGCCAAGCAGTTTTCCAAACCAGTTACAACTATCTACACTCTTATCAGTAGTGAATGAGAGTTCTAGCGGCTGCACACCCCCAGTTAGTGTCACCTGACTCTCATTCCAAGTGTGCCATGTGGTTTGCAGTGGCATCACTTTGTGGCTTTAATTTGCATTTCCCTGATGATCAATGAAATTGAACTCCTTCGGTTACTACATTTTATACCTGAAGCAATTAAATAATCTTGTAATGACACATTTCCCACTCCTGTTCACCTTCCAGGAACGGAAATATGGAGGTTTGTTACTAAGTTTGATTTTAATTCAGACACAGAAATAAGGTTGCAATTTTGTATATCTGAGCACCTAGTCTGTAAATTTCAAAATTTCATCACCCCCCCCCCCCGCCGTTACTAAGTATGTGAATTTGTAGGAAATGTAATGATTTTTTGCTCTTACTTTTCTAATTTGTAAAAATGTAGATGACTCCTCCCTCTCTGAGATATTATGGGAGTTAAATGAGTTGCCTTCCATGGTGCTTAGTATGTGATAAGCATCCAATAAAGCCATCAAATAATATCTTTTCCTCACTCTTTACAGGAGATCTTTCCTACCTCTTATTTAAGATAGGTTATTTCTGAGGCTTTTAACAGAACCTAGAATTTTAAATTGACATTAAGGTTACCAAGTTCTTAGGCTCTTCTAGGGAGGCGGTTTGGCGTGAACTGGGTCTCTGGAGTCTGTCAGGTTTGAATTCTGTCTGCTTTTTGCACACCTTGCAAACTGGGGCAAGTTATCTAGTTTCTCTATAGTTTTGCAAAGCTTAAAATGCTGAGCTGGCCATGGGTTGATATTGAAACACTGCTTAGTTCCAGAGATACAGTGGAGAACTCTGTCTGACTCTATCAAGGACTAGAGAGCAAGGGTTGGCAAACTTTTTCTGTAAGCAGCCAAATAATATATAATTTATGCTTTGTGAACCATTTCTGTCACAGCTGCTCAAATTATTGTAGTGTGAAAGCAGTTGTAGACAACATGTATACTTATAATAGCATAGCTGTGTTTCAATAAAACTTTATGGATACTGAAATTTGAATTTCACATATTTTCATATCCATTAAATTTTTTCAACTGTGTAAGTATGTACAAAGGAAAACACTCTTCCTCTGTATCTCCTCTATTTTCAAAAACTCTACTCAGAATATGTCACTTCTGACACTGGATGTGTAGATTTTTCACACATCAAGTAATTTCTGCAAAACCTGCTTGGTGTCCTGCAACTCAGTTCAGTTCTAACACTGTCACCTGGAGATAGCAGCAGATCCCTCAGGCTAAGGGGCTTAGTCCTACAAGGGTGCCCTTGCTCCCACTTCAAATGTCAATGGCAGGTCCAAGTTATCACCTGTGCTTCAGATCAACTGACTATAGTTTGGAGGTTCCCCCTCCTCCAGTTGGTTGATTTGCTGTCATGGCTCACAGGACTCATGGAAACATCTTGCTAGATCACTGGTTTTGTAACAGGAAACAGCCGGATGGAAGAGATGCATGGGGCAAGGTATGTGGAAAGGAGCAGGGAGCTTCCACGCTCTCTCTGGGCTTGCCACCCTCCCTGCATCACCATGTGTTTGCCAACCTGGCTTTATTACGTAGGCATGATTGATTAAATCATTGGCTGTTGGTTTTGAGTCAACCCTCAGCCCCTCCCCTCTCCTCTCCTGAGGTGGGATGGGAATGAAAGTTCCAATCTTCTAAGCACTGTTTGGTTCCCCTGGCAACTAGCCCTCATCCATAGTGGGTTTCCAAAAAGTCACCTCATTAACTTAAACTCAGATGTGGTTGAAAGGAGCTTGTTGTGAATAACAAGACACTATTTTACCTTCATGGCTCTGGAGCTGTTGCAGGAACTAATGACAGCAGACCAAATATTAGAACAAAAGATGCTCCCAGTGCCCTTCTCACTTAGGAAAGTCCTGAGGTTCTAGGAGTTCTGTTCTAGAAATGGGATGGAGACTAAATATTTCTTTTTTCTCTCTCTTTTTTAAAAAATTTAATTAGCCCTGGCCAGTTTGGCTCAGTGGTTAGAGTGTCGGCCTGCGGTACAGAGAGACCCGGGTTCGGTTCCCGCTAAGGGCACGTACCTCGGTTGCGGTTTGTCCCCGGCCCTGGTTGGTCGTGCGGGTGGCAGCCACTCGATGTGTCCCTTCACATCGATGTTTCTCTCTCTCTCTCTTCCTCTCTCTCCCTCCCGCTCTATCTGAACAAAAAAAAAAATGTCCTCGGGTGAGGATAAAAAAAATAAATAAATAAATAAAAAATTTAATTAATTTATATATTTTTGTTACAGATATTTCGCCTTTTCCCCCCCACTGACTCCCCCCTCCTCCTCCCTCCCTGCCCTCTCCCCAGCTTTGTTGTCCATGTCCGTTGTTCATGCATACATGCATATAAGTTCTGTGGTTTATCTCCCCCCCCGCCCCCTCCTCTGGGGATAGTCAGTCTGTACCCCACTTCCACGTCTCTGGGACTACCCCATTCCTCAGACTATTATGTTCATTATATTCCGCAAATAAGTGAGATCATATGATACTTGTCTTTTTCTGTTTGGCTGGTTTCGCTTAGGATGACACTTTCCAGGTCCCTCCATGTCGTCTCAAAGGATAAGAGATCTTTCTTTCTTACAGCTGCATAGTACTCCATTGTGTATATGTACCACAGCTTTTTTATCCATTCGAGACTAAATATTTCTAATCATGAATCACAATACCCCAACATATAAAACCATTCTTAGCTCAGGGACCAAACTATGGTCTGTGAACCATAGTTTGGAGACCAGGTAGAAAGAGAGAGGCAAGTTAAAAAGTAAATGTTAGCACATAGGGTTTTGAGCCCAGGGAAGAGGTTTTTTGTTTTTTGTTTTCTATTTAGCCCATGTTTTGAGTTGTATACTGTTAGGGGAATGTTGAAGTTAGTTTGTATATCAAGACCCACAAAATGAAGACTGCCCCAGTGGTTTGGCACACATCACAAATCTAAACCTAAGTCAGCCTGCACTCAATGGGAACACCTGTCAAGGAGACCTAACTTGCACCAACCACAATCCTCCAGCTCAGCTTTAGCTAGCTTACCTTACCTAGAAAATAGGACCTGCTAGCCTTCTAAGGAAATCCCTGACCACCTTGCCTCTTCTAACATTCTGTAAAACTCACTCTTGCCCAAAATCCGTTGGGAAAAGTGCACCCTTGCTTGTGAGGCACTGTACTACCCCAACCCATTGTTTCCCTTGAATGAAGGACACCAAACTCATTATCAAATTGTAGTATTTTTGTCATTTGACAGACAAAAGATACATCACAAGTATGTGTTTGTAATCAAGGAAAAGTAGATTTGGAGGTCAGAGTTGGATTTAAAGTTTGGTTCCACGCCTTAGACATGGAAGCCATTTTGGACAAATAACTTCTGTGAACCTAATTTTTCTCATCTGTAAAATGGAGCTAGTAGTCCTTCAGAGGATTTTTGGAGGGCTGAATGAAATGAGATAAGGTGTGAAATATCACTAGTCTAAAGCTTCACACACAGTGGGAACCCAATAGGTGATGATGGTTAGTATGTTTCTCATTGTAAAAGAAGTGAAGTGAAATCAGATTGGTTTATAATCAATAAGACCCTGGTGTTGAAGAGTAGCTGAATATGTCACCCTAAAATATGTCTCTTGACATAGGATTATTTTTAGCTGATTATTTCAAGTAACTGTAGACATAGCAGAAGCTCTGAGAACACGGTAGAAGTTACCCTTTAGAAAGGGAACTCTACATTCATACATGAAATTTACAATAGAAAGGGGGTCAGGAATAGAGCTATTATCACACATAACTTTTCATACCTTGCTAGGCTAGGCAGCCTTTGCTTAGCAAACAGTTCCTCCTTTGCCTTTGTGTGAATGGCCTCCCCTTCCACTCACTCTCTCACCTCAACATCTCTTATGTACTTAGATGAAGATAGTATTTAGAGTTGTGGCTTGGCGTTTTAGGAGTCTAATTTTTCCTGTATATCTCCCATATGTACATGAGGCATACATGTTAATAAACTTCTGTTTGTTTTTCCCTTGTTTATCTATGTATATTTATTACCAGGAGTCTTAGCCAAGAACTCAGAAAGGTAGCAGGGAATTATTTTTGCTCCCTTACAGTGCAAAAGGATGCCAAAAGAAAAGCCAATTGAGAGAGACGGTGGTTGGAATTGAGTTGTTGCTGGTGGGAAATGGGAGTAAGTGGGTGGATTTAAGATGCATTTAGGAGGTGGAATTGAGAAAACCTGGCGATTGAATGTGAGCAGGCTGAGGGAAAGATGGGAGTTAAGATGGGCATTTAGATACTGGGCTGGAAAACTGGGTAGAGATGATACCATTTAAGTCAAACCTGGTTCCCTAACTGGGACGCCATTTCACTGCCACGTAGATGCCCTTGGTCCCTTTATTTCTGTTGCTCAGCTGTCTTACTCGGTGTCCTCCGGTCGCTACCTGCGGAATGCTGCCCTCCTGGATGTAACACTGGTTCTGGCTGACACAGATGCATGAGGTTGGACAAAGGAGAAGCCAGACATCAGAGAAATTGGACTTCCTGAGGAAAGAACCCATAGGGACTTCCTTGTAAAGAAAGAGGCAGTGACGAAATAAGCATGATGGGATGATCCCAAGTCAAAATGCAGCTGCTCTTTGGAACCCAGACAGGAAAGTAAGTCAGGAAACCAGTAGTGGAACGCAGGAAGGAAGAATGCTGGCTCATGCAAAGCTGTGATTCTCAGGACGTGTGGGAGGGTTTGACAGCAAGACCCAGAGGAGCCTTCTCTCCTTTAACCAAGAAACCCCACCGTACGGTCAAGTAGAGCAGTACACCTTGAAGCCAAGGCGTAATTTAGTTTTAATTGTGAAAGAAGGATTCTCGGCAGGACTGAATAATTTGTCAGAGGTGAACTCTAGAACATATAGAAGAAAAATGCGGAGAAGTTTGAACTGCATGTTTAAATTGCATCATTCTGGAGGAGAGAGATTGCTCCACGACATGACTGCTACTACCAGAGCCACGGACTAGATCCAGGCTACCACAGAAATTGCTTTCCATAAATCCCCTGAGACTACCTGGTAACTTCTCCCCTATGCCTTTCGGCGTGCTGGTCCTGGAACGGGCCACTAGATGGAAGACATTTTCCCTTATGTGGGGCAGGCCGTGCACCAGTACACCTGTCTACCCTGCCCTGTTCCATGTCTTTCTTTGGCACCTGCCCAGAGGATATCCACTTCACCTTGCTGACACCCAAGATGCACCTCGTATGTAAGTTTCCCTTAATGTAAACTCTGTTAATTGCTAGACTGAAGTGGCCTGCCTCTTTCTGTGGTCTCTCCCCTTCTCCTTATTGGGTAGATTTTCAGTCTCAGAGCTTTCTCCTGGGTCTGCATGTAAGAACTGTCATGGAGAAGAACACAGAAAGGATAGAGTGCCAAGAAAAAGTAGACCATGGTAATGGATAAATAGGCATCAATGTTGATTGTCTTTTTTGGGAAAATTTTTCTTTTTTTACACACTGTATTTCTTTCCCATTTTTTGTTTTATCTATTTATGATTCTAATAATACTATGTTTTAAAACTGATAGGATTCATTGGATATGACACCAAAAGCACAGGCAAGGAAAGTACAAATAGATAAATTTGACTATAAAATAAAATAAATTTTTTCCATTGATTCTTAAGAGAGAAGGAGAGAGAGAGAAATGCTGATGGGTTGCCTCCTGTACGTGTCATGACTGGGGGTGGAACTCATAACCTGGGTATGTGTCCTGAATGGGAATCAAACCCACAACCTTGTGGTGCGTGGGACAGCACTCTAACCACTGGGCAACACCGGCCAGGGCAAAAATTTCTTTCCATTAAAAGACACAACCTATAGAGTTAAAAGGCAACCTATGTAAACTAAATATCTAATGAAGGGTTCATCTCCTTCGGCCTTATTGCTGTAGCTCCTGCCTGCTGACCTCCCACCTGCCAGCATCTGCAATTGTTCATTTAGATGATTAATTGGTGTTCTCAGAATTCAATTGGATATATATTCCCATAGTTTTCTTCCTAACTCATGTCTTCTATAATAGCTCTATCCTGTGAAACTGGTATCAAAAGATAGCCACATTAGTATTGTTTCATAGAGTTACAGTTAGAGCATCTATCTGTTCATCCATTTTGAGAAAATAGACCACTCTCAGTAGTAACAGTTTTTTTTGGGCTTACTGTTGTCCTGCTTACTTCTTGGTTATTCACAAGAGATGATTTTGGCAATCAGAGTTCTTCACACAATGGGTATCTGAGTCAAAGCTAAGAGAGAATAATATTCTCTTGCTCTATGCCTCTGTTAAGGCACCAAAATTATATTAGTTTTCCATTTTGTAACACCCACTTATTAGCTACCCTCCCCTCAGCAATAATTTCACCTTTGTTCTATTTATCATCAAGTCATTGGGCTGGTCTATATTGCTGGTAGTAAATTGAAATATTCCAGAGTTCCCATTTGGTCTAGTCCCAACTAATGGGGTTATCTCTTCCACAAGGCAATAGCATTTGTAACAGTCAGCTCCAATTTAGCAAGGTGCAAGGAATTGATCATTTATTCTTTCATATCTTTGGCATTTTTGCATTTAGGTTCAAATTAATATATATATTACCTTGTTTTAGAATAATACTAGACTTTGGGATCCTTAATAATAGCTCTAGTTTTAGGGACTGTGAGATCCACCATTGAAGAAGAAAATTATGGTGAAGGAACACTTGTATGTAAATTACATCCCTTATCACTTTCCCTCTAATTCTACCACAAAAGTGTAATTGTCTATCTAATAAAGGCATACTTTTAGTCTTCCTCTGCAGCACAGAGTCCGGTTCGGTATTTCTGGGCCCTCAGCCCCATCTCCCCAGCTCAGGGAGCCAGCGGGGCTCCTCCTGGATGTCCGCTTGCTCTGTGCTCTGGAAACTCAAGACAGTGAGCTGGGGCAACTGCGGGTCTCACTGAGCTTTCCGCCCTCTCTCACCTGGACGAGGGCCCACGCGCCGTGCCTTGGACACCGCTGTGTCATATATGCTGTCCAGTTTTTCACTGTTTGATGGGACGGTGAATTAAGCCTCCGTTACTTCATCATGATCAGAAAAGAATGTTCAATGGGATTTATGTCAGTTTTAAAAATGAATCGCATTTGGACCTAATTTATTACCTATATAATGTATCAGATATATAAAATTGCTCTCTAGTAATGGGAGATGGATGAATCACGTTAAAATGTTTAAGATAAAAGTGTTACTGTATTTTGGAAGTAATTATTTTCAGTGTCAAAAGGGAAACTGTTATGACAGATTTCCTTTGCAAGAATCAGGAAGTACTGCTATCAGTTTTTAAATCTTGAAAACCACATTATGAGTAGAAGACTATATATATTAGTTTCACAAACATACACTTGTCAGAGTTGCCTGGCTATATCGAGCTTCCTCAGTTGATGTGATGTCAGGGACTAATAGCACAAATACAGCCCCATTAAGCACCACCATTGCTTTAGCATTTTTAATGGGCTTTCTAGCTTTTGCTATAATGCTAGGAAATGCCATCGTCATTTTAGCTTTTGTGGTGGACAAAAAACTTAGACATCGAAGTACTTATTTTTTTCTTAACTTGGCCATTTCTGACTTCTTTGTTGGTAAGTTACATCTCTTTATCTAAGATAATCTTTTCCAATTATAATTTATTTCTAAAACCTTAAAATAAGCTTTTGTTATTTCAGGGAATTGTATGAAATTGGGAATGATTACAAACAAAAAGTTTAAGAATTAAAGTTCAGGGGCGTCTATACATATGGTGATGTAGGGGACTACTATATATATGTAATTTGTAGAGAAAATTTTCATCTGAAAACAGTTTATTTTCTTTTTATAGTATAAAAATAATTTAAGAATATACCCAAAATTGTTTAATCTAAAAGTTATTTGGTTTTGAAGCTATTTTCCTTGTATGTTTAGGTTTATAAGTATTTCTCTTTTTTATTTTTTTAATCCTTACTCAAGGATATTTTTCTATTTATCTTCAGATAGAGTGGGGGGAGGGAGGAAGGCAGAGAGAGACAGAGAGAGGGAGAAAGAAACATCAACGTGAGAGATACATCAACTGGTTGCCTCCCACACAACCCCGACCAAGGCGGGGGGCGAACCGCAACCTAGTTACGTGCACTTGACTGGAATCGAACCCACAACTCTTTGGTCCGCAGGCCGATGTTCTAACTGCTGAGCCAAACCAGCCAGGGATATAAGTATTCCTCTTTAAGTAAGTATAATTTCCTTAGTGGCACGGTGTTGGAGTAGTAAGAAATAATGTATATGCTGGTAACTAGCACAATCAGCGAATGGGATATTCAGGTCAATTAAATTGTATGGCTAATAATATTATTTTATGATATGGTATAAAATAATATAAAATATACCCAACACTAAACTACCTTGTATGTGATATGGTATCACAGTATTATAAGGGGTCATAGAAATTAAATTAATCTTTTTTGGAAAACATGTATTTGGTGTTTTTTTTACTTCCTGACACTCATCAGGAAGCTTATAAGTAAATGTGCAGAAGTGTCAGCTGACGGTATTGTTTTACAGGAGCTTTTAGCATAATTTAATCTGCCATTGCCTATAGCTACATAAATGCTTGCATTTATATTAAAATAAAGCAATACTCATAGAATACTTAGTTTATTGCCTGGAACACAGTGTGTATCTTTCCTTTTTTAAAATATGTTTTTATTGATTTTTAGAGAGATAGAAACATTGAGGTGAGAGAGAAACATCCATCAGCTGCCTCCTGCAGGCCCCCCACTGGGGATCCAGCCCGCAACCCAGGCATGTGCCCTGACCGGGAATTGAACCAGGACCTCTCAGTCCATGGGAGGATGCTCAATCCACTGAGCCACACTGGCCAGGCCAGTGTGTATCTTTCCAAGTGTGAGCTCCCGGCTTCCAGGCTGGCTGTGAGCAATGGCTGTGTGGGCATAGTGGGGCTGAAGTCAGAGTGGTCAGAATCTGTATAATGAAGGCTCTTGAATACTAGTATGATTCTGCATCGGAGTTTATTCAGCAGGCAATGTGGAATTAAAAAAATTTAAAGCAAGCAAGTGAATGGATGGATCGAAGCTTTACCTTAGAGACATCAGAAGAGATGTAGTAGGTGAAGAAGCTGGAGCAGGGGGCAGCTTTGTTTCAGAGATGACCCTACAGCAATCTAGGTAGAAGTCTTGTGGTAGGTGAGGCTCAGCTGGGGTGAGGGTGGAAAAGAGGTTTGGGGTGCAGAGCTGCAAGAGTGGGTTCAGTCAGGAGAAAGAGAAAGATGAGTCAGAGATTGAGTTCTGGGGACTGAGAAGTATGAAACTCAATAGAAAGGAGGAGCATTTGGGAGGGCATCTTCTACTTCTGGTGTGGCATTGATAAAACTCCTGGAGGAAATTTCTAGCTGGAGAGATTGATTTAGGAGTCATGATATAGAAATGACAGGGTCACAGATAAAGGCGGCTAACCAATATAGGAGTATTAAAAGAATGCAACAATTTCGCCATTTCTCTCAGTTTTGCCCCTCCAGGTCACCAATGTTAAGAACTTGATGCAAATGCTTTCTTACCATTCTCCATGCTCACATAAACCACATATAAGTTTGTGTATTTATGTAAAAATTATCTTTCTGTAAATATAAGGACTACTCTGCTGTAAATATATGTAGCCCTCTTCTCTTTCTTCACAGAGCTGTAGAACTTTTATTTTTTATTTTTTATTTATTTATTTATTTTATCCTCACCCGAGGACATTTTTTCTATTTTTTGTTCAGATAGAGTGGGAGGGAGAGAGAGAGAAACATCGACGTGAAAGAGACACGTCAAGTGGTCGCCACCCACACGACCCAACCAGGGCAGGGGACAAACTGCAACCGAGGTACGTGCCCTTAGCGGGAACCGAACCCGGGTCTCTCAGGACCGCAGGCCGACGCTCTAACCAAACCGGCCAGGGCGAGCTGTAGAACTTTTAGATGATACTGAGACTTAAAGTTGATCATGTATTTTGACTAACTGAAAAGGAGGGAGGCCCTGAATACCTGGTGGTTGGGAGGGATGGGGTAATCTATACTCACTGAGAGCCTGAGGCTGACAGATGTGCTCAGGGATGGTTCCAGATAGCAGTGGAATGCCTCTGTCTGTGGCACAAGGTCAGCGTCACGGCCGCCCCACCATTGTGGCTTGAGCACCACAACATAAAGGTGTGGTTTATCTTTGATTGAGAAAGGTCCCGGCCGACTTCTGGTCACTATGGCAGTGCAGATAAACTCGGTACTCGCCTCCTCCCACAACCACATCAAAATTACAACTAAGCTACAGAACAAACATCCTTCAGAACCGCCTGACATCGAGCTGAAGGGAAGTCCTACAACTGCAAGATGAAAGAAGAAGCCACATGGAGACTGGTAGGAGGAGTGGAGGTGGACGGGCTGGACCCCACCCGCCTGTGGCAGATAAAAATCTGGAGGATAGCTCTGCTGGGGAGGTCCTCCCTGAGGACTGAGGGGTCCCTGTCCCACACCAGGCACCTTGCTCAGGGTTCCAGTGCCAGGAAGAGAAGCCCCATAACTTCTGGCTTTAAAAACCAGTGGGAACTGAGGCTGAGGGAGACTGAGGCGGCTGGAGCCCCAGGCAGCTCCTCTTAAAGGGCCTGAGCATGGACTTACTCGGACTCAAACTCTCCAGGGTCCAGCGTTGGGGAGGCAGTTTGAAAGTCACCAGAGACATACAAGGAAGAGTTCCCCAGACAAGAAAAAGCTAAAGGAGTTCATCACCACCAAACCAGTATTATATGAAATGTTGAAGGGTCTTCTTGAAGAAGAAGATAAAAAATATGAACAATAAAATGGCAAAAAATACATATCTATTGACCATTGAATCTACAAATCAAAGGAACAAACAGAACAGAAACAAACTCGTAGATATAAAGAATTTTTTGTTGGTTGCCAGATGGGAGAGGGTTTGGGGGGATGGGTGAAAAAGGTGAAGGGATTAAGAAGTAGAAATTAGTTGCTACACTGACGAAACTCAAAGGGAAGGGGGGGGGTGGGAATCGATAAACTGAAGAACTTATTTAAATATATGCATAACCAATGGACACAGACACTAGTGTGGGAAAGGCAGAAGTGAGGAAGGTGTGGGAAGGAGAAGATCAATGGGGAAAAAATGGGGGACATCTGTAATACTTTATTTTTATTTATTTTTTTATCCTCAGCCGAGGATATTTTTTCATTTTTTGTTCAGATAGAGTGGGAGGGAGAGAGAGGAAGAGAGAGAGAGAGAGAGAGAAACATCAATGTGAAAGTGACACATCGAGTGGCTGCCACCCGCATGACCCAACCAGGGCCGGGGACAAACTGCAACCGAGGTACGTGCCCTTAACGGGAACCGAACCTGGGTCTCTCAGGACTGCAGGCCGACGCTTTAACCGCTGAGCCAAACCGGCTAGGGCACATCTGTAATACTTTCAACAATAAAGATAAACTAAAAAAAAAAATAGAGATATCCCTGCAGATGCAGTTATACACCAGTCCTGGTGGTTCCCCTTTATCAGCAGGTGGGTGGGAAAAATTTTGGCTTTGCTCTTTTTTTTCCCCATTAATTAATTAATTATTTTTGTTACAGATGTTTCTCCTTTTTACCCCACTGATTTCCCCCTCTTCTCCCTCCCCGCCCTGTCCCCAGCTTTGTTGTCCATGTCCATTGTTCATACATACATGCATATAAGTTCTGTATAATATTTATTTAGGATAAGGTCTCTATTCTTTTTTTTTTGGTAGGTGCCCCTAGCGGGAACCAAACCCTGGACTCTCTGGTCCACAGGCCAATACTCCAACCGCTGAGCCAAACCGGCCAGGGCTGGCTTTGCTCTTAACGAGCAGTCCAGCAGAGTCTCTATTAATCTATTGGCCTCATCCTTCACATATACCCTAACCCAGCCAGCTTCCTCCAGAGATCACTTATTTAACACAATATCTCTGAAATATTGCAGGGTCCATTCCAGATCATTGCAATAAAGTAAATATTGCAATAAAGAAAGTTACATAAATGTTTTGGTTTCATAGTGCTTATAAAAGAACTGCACTGTTTTTTCTCACTCTATGGAAGAGATGAGTATGTGCATGAAATATGCTTATTTGGGGAAGATTGAAAGCTATAACTCTGGGCTGAAATATAATAAATGTTTTTTTTGAAGATACTTTGATATATCTCAGGTGAACCTGGTGACCTAATTTATACCATAGGCATGTGTGTACGTACACACACACACACACACACACACACACACACACACTTTTGAGATGGAAGGCACCATAAGGAAGTTTAGTTATCATAAAAATATAATTAAAACATAAGCAAGCAGGCAATTTGAACTACATATAAGAACTGACTGCACAACTCTTCATCTCCGTGGTGTCTAGTTTCTCACAATTGTATGTAACCTAGGTACAGAATACTACGTTCTGCATTTCCTTTCATTGGTTCTGAAACACCATTATGTCCTCGTGGTGTTACTGGTCCGAAGCCTGTGTGACTGATGTGTCAAAAGGCCGAAGCTCAAAGCATCAGAGTTTGGAGTGAGGAAATGTTTATTGACCAAGAGGGTG